TCCCTTCTTTCCACCCTTTCTTTCCTTTTCTTCCTTCCTTCCCCTTCCTTTCCTCCCCCCCCTCCTTCCTTCCTGTCCCTTCTTCCTTTCCTTCTTTCTATGTAAGATACAAATACAATATTTTATATATTGTTATATAGATTACTATATAATATGTTACTATTACTACATAATCCAAATTAAATAGACTTACAGAATAGAGTTGGAAGGGACAGTCAAGAAATAACAAGAGGAGGGAAAGAGGGAAGGAATGAAGGCGGGAAAGGGGGAAAGAGAGAAGGAGGGAGGGAAAGAAGGAAGGAAAGAAAGAAAGGTAGAGAAGCAAGAAAGGAGAGAAGGAAATAAAAAAGTGAAAGGAAAAATACAGGGAAGGAAGGATGTAACCAAAGAGCAAACAAGGGAGGAAAGAAACAGGTAGAGATGGAAGAAAGAAAAAGATAAATAGGAAGAGAAAGAAAAAGAGGAAAGGAAGGAGAGAAAGAGGGCGGGAAGGTTGGCCACAGCAACGTGTGGCGGGTACAGCTAGTCATAATCATCATCATCTTTATTTATACCCCGCCACCATCTCCCCAATGGGGACTCAGAGCAGCTTACATGAGGCCAAGCCCAAACAACAAATTACAATACAATGAGATACAAACTGCAATAAAATAAACAACATTAAAGTATAAAACATATAAGCATATAAACAATAAACACAAAACATTAAAAAAAACTTAAACCAAACATAATGACAATGAGCGGGCTGCATGTACATAAAATGATTTAAAAACTCAAGGTGAAATAAAGGGGCAGAACTATTTGTAAGGGAGAACTCATGGAGAGACAGGGAAATAAACCTTCGTACAAGGGGGGGGGGGGTGTACTCCTAGGGCAGGAACGTTGAGAGAGCAAAATCCTTGCAAAATAGCTTCAAGCCCCAGAATCTGCTGTTAAAGGGATCTGCTCAATCACATGTGTCAAACTCAAAACCCATGGGCCAAATCCATTTCATGTAGCCCTCTAGATACTGGAGCAAATTGGTGTTGGGATACAGTAACATCTGGAAGGCTGCCGTTGGTTCTATTTAGTCAGGAGAGCAGGGTTTGGATTTAGATGCAAAGCTTGTGGATATGATGTCTCATGTTAAAATGTTCTTTTAAGTTTTCACCAATGTCAGGGCCATAAGTGTTGTTGCGCAGCCATTCCTGTTATCCCCAGTCCACATACACAGAAGAAATGGGAGTCGTTGTTCAATAAGCATGCATTTTAAACTCATGTCTTGTGTTTAATCTCTGTTTTTCATATGTATTTTATAGAAATACCTTTTAAATATGTACCATTTATAGAAATATATTTAAATTTGTGTATTCACAGAATTTTTACAGTGTTTGTGTGTTTAAATTATGCTGTAATGCAGGGGTCCTCAAACTAAGGCCCGGGGGCCGGATATGGCCCTCCAAGGTCATTTACCCGGCCCTTGTTCAGGGTCAACCTAAGTCTGAAATGACTTGAAAGCACACAACAACAACAACAACAACAACAACCACAACCACAACAACAATCCTATCTCATCAGCCAAAAGCAGGCCTGCACTTCCCATTGAAATACTAATAAGCTTATATTTATTTAAAATGTTCTTTATTTTAATTATTGTATTATTTTAAAGTGGTTTTTGCACTACAAATAAGATATGTGCAGTGTGCATAGCAATTCATTCATGTTTTTTCAAATTATAATCCGGCCCTCCAAGAGTTTGAGGGACTGTGTTCTGGCCCTCTGTTTAAAAAGTTTGTGGACCCCTGCTGTAACCTGTCTCAAAACACGAGGAAAGGCAGATAAAAAATAAAATTATTATTATTCATTATTATTATTATAGCATTTGGGGATCCAAATTGGGTCGAAACTAAAGAGTACCATCCACTGTGTGTGTGTGTATAAAGAGAGCAAGAGAGATAATGTTGGTCCTCTGTATCCATGGATTCTCTGCCCATGGTGTCAACAGCCTTTTGAAGGCAACCATAATAAGGCAGATGTGACCAGGGAGGGTGAGGTACGAAGTCGAAACACTGAGTGGAGGGGCTGTGAGTTTGAGGGAGCGGGAGAAAAAAGGAAACGGCCGAATCTCACCTAAAACTCAGAAACGTGCCCTTTTTCTTGCCCAAGCTTGGGATCATCTACCGCGATGTGAAGCTGGAGAACATCTTGCTGGATAGCGAGGGCCACGTGGTGCTCACCGACTTCGGGCTCAGCAAGGAATTTGTGACTGAAGATGTGAGTCTGGCTCCTCGGGAAATTGATGGGTGCTAAGCCATTGGTCAGGTTGGGATGGTGGGTCAGGTTGGGATCCTTTGTGACCCTTTGTTGGGAAGCCTGCTTGTGACCATCGGGAGGTGATCTATGGCCTGTCGGGCTCCCTTGAATTCTGTGTCTCCATACTTCTATGAGTTGAGGCTCCTAGGTTGACACTCTAATTTGCCACAGTTTGAAGGCAAGATCTGAAGATGGTTTCCACATCTAGGCCTGTTTGATGATCCATAAGCCAGGGTTCAGTTTAGTGCTTAAGCAAGGCTCTTTATATGGCGTAATTACTGATTGTGAAAGAGTAAGCAATCCGTGAGCATATGTATGCTTGACTAAAGGGCACCAAAATCTGATGTAGCATTTTGTCTGAATATAGCTGGTACCAACTGACCCAATTCTTGTCCCTTTAACGGCCTTGTTAACTTTTAATGGCTTGGAGAATGCCTTATCACCTGGTTATTAAGCTGTTGTTTAAGGTAGAACGGAGCTCCCGGTCGTGCAGTGGGTTAAACAGCTGAGTTGCAGGTTCGAATCCGGGGGGCAGGGTGAGTTCCCGCTGCTAGCCCCAGCTTCTGCCACCCTAGCAGTTTGAAAACATGCAAATGTGAGTAGATCAATAGTTACCATTCCGGCGGGAAGGTAACAGCTATGCATGCAATCATGCTGGCCACATGACCTAAGCTCTTCAGCTTAGAAATGGAGATGATCACCCACCCCCAGAGTTGGACACAACTAGACTTAATGTCAGGGGAAAACCCTTACCTTTAACCGTAATAATGGAGCCCCCGGTGGCACAGTGGGTTAAACCCCTGTGCCGGCAGGACTGAAGACCGACAGGTCACAGGTTCGAATCCGGGGAGAGGTGGATGAGCTCCCTCTACCAACTCCAGCTCCTTATGAGAGAAGCCTCCCACAAGGATGATAAAAACATCAAATAATCCGGGCGTCCCCCAGGCAACACCCTTGCAGACGGCCAATTCTCTCACACCAGAAGCGACTTGCAGTTTCTCAAGTCACTCCTGACACAACCAAACAAAACCCCTAATAATAATAATAATAATAATAATAACAACAACAACAACAACAACAACAACAACTTTAATTATATACCGCCCCATCTCTCCGAGGGGACTCAGAGTGGTTCCCAGGTAACATCACAAAACATACAAAGTAAAAAACAACATAACCATAAGATTAACAAACAAAATATAAGCATAAAAATTGTCGCCATAACACACATATATTAAAAGTAATCCTGCCTGTTCAAGGCAACTAAAAAATTTAAAAGGCCAGGCCAAGATTTGTGCAGGCCCAAAAATTCTAGGGGGCCCGGGAATTAAGTGTAGGCAACAATAATATTAGGTACAGGTCTGTGGCTGTTCATTCCGGGATCAATTAGAGAAAATGATCTGGGTAATTGGTAGGGAAAATAAGGTCGTATTCGACAAGGTGTAGGGCTGAGTTAGAACTGGTCATTTTCAAAGACTTGTTGAAACCACCAGGTCTTCAAGCTCTTACGAAAGGAGGGTAGGAATTGGGCCTGTCTTATTTCCCTAGGAAGGGCGTTCCAAAGGCGGGGGGCCACCACTGAGAAGGCCCTCTCTCGTTCCCACCAATGGTAGTGGGACCGAGAGAAGGGCCTCCCCGGAAGATCTTAGAGCTTGTGCCGGTACATAGAAGGAGATGCGATCGCGGAGATAGGCGGGGCCCAAACTGTTGTTCTACCTTAAAGTAGAACAACAGTAGCTGGATTACACTTTGGCAACTCGAGAGGCAGGTGTCGTTTCTGATTTAAGTCCTCCAATTGGTAAATAGACTGAATCAGTTGTTGGATGCAGAGTCAACAATTGCTGATTATGGATCCACAGTCCCACTGCTTCTACAGACTGATTGAAAGTTTGGGTTCAAGCCTATTTCTTTCTCCTTTCCCCTCAAAATAACCCTTATCACAGAAAGAACGGACCTTCTCCTTCTGTGGCACCATTGAATACATGGCTCCAGAGATTGTCCGGAGCAAGAGCGGTCATGGCAAGGTAAGATGTGAGCTTGGGATTGCATATGTGATGTTCTTGTTGTTCTTGTTGTTGTTCTTCTTGATCTTCTTATGAGTAATAAGTTTGACAATGTATTGTCAAAGGTTTTCATGGTCATAATCACTGGGTTGCTGTGAGTTTTCCAGGCTGTCTGGCCATGTTCCAGAAGCATTTTCTCCTGACATTTCACCCACATCTGTGAGGTCTGTTGGAAACTAGGCAAGTGAGGTTTATATGTCTCTGGAATGTCCAGGGTGGGAGAAAGAACTCTTGTTTGTTTGAAGCGGATGTGAATTTGAGAACACAGAAATGCTGGACCACTCTGACAACCACTATGCCAGACGACATAGAAAAGCCACTGAAACCCACAAGCATGTGGACAGTTTCAACAGAAAGAAGGAAAGCATGAAAATGAACAAAATCTGGCTACCAGTATTAAAAAAAACTCTAAATTGGCATATATTATGAAAACGTGCCCAAAATTATGTTGGCACAACTGCGGAAAAATAGGAACATATACCCACATGTGGTGGGAATGCGAAAAAATCCAAAAGTTCCATGAAATAATTACGAAGGAAATTGAGCTATTAGGGATAAATATAGAATGGAACAAAACTCAATTTTTCACCCAGAAATTGGAAAGTAAAGAAGGTGAGGAAATAATAAAACACATGATAGAGGCAATCAAAGCCTCAGTGGCCCTGGGCTGGAAGGACCACAAGAATGGGATATAAAAACTTGATATAAATATCTAGCTGATTACCTTCTCCAAGATTATATTAGCAAAAGGAAAAGTTACTATACGACGGGTCAAAGCAGAATGACATGGGAAGCAAAATGGAAGGGTCTCATATACAGAATAAAGGGTGTTAAATATTTACGGTGTTAAATAAGACTATTCTCATGACTTAACAATTTATTTATTTATTTACGGCATTTATATGCTGCCCTTCTCACCCCCAAGGGGACTCAGAGCGGCTTATAATATATATTTTCATACAATATATTATATTATTAGCATAGTACAATATCAGTATTATATATTACTATATTGCACTATACCATTATATTGTAATATTATTAGTAATATTACATGTAATGTAAATAATAATAATAATAATAATAATAATAAACTTAATTTCTACCCCATCACCTTCCCCAATGGGGACTCGGAGCGGCTTACATGGGGCCAAACCCAGACAACATAATATACGGACAGCATTATAATTATAATTATAATATTGTATTATTATTACTAGTATTATATTGTATTACATTATAATATTATAAATATTATATGTATATACAATATACTGTATTATATTATTAGTAAAGACAAGATGGAAATGTCTTCTGCTCCCCTCTGTCCCCATTTGCCTAGATTCCAACAGACCTCACAACCTCTGAAGATGTCTGCCATAGATGTGGGCAAAATGTCAGGAGAGAATGCTTCTGAAACATGGCCAAACAGCCTGGAACACTCCCAAGACTTGATGTGCAGGAGGGAATGTTGTTGAGACAGAATGCTAATAATTGATGACCGGTGGAGATGTGTCAACCATTTCTAAGCATTTGGGTTTGTTTTGGTTTTTCCTGGCAGTCGGTGGACTGGTGGAGCTTGGGAATCCTGATGTTTGAGCTGCTAACAGGTGCCTCACCTTTCACGTTGGAAGGAGAAAAGAACTCCCAGGCGGAGGTATCAAGGTGAGGGGACCGTGAGTCCTTTGGGGGGGATGAGGTATGGGTGGGATGGACTTCACTGACTGGGGAACCCGCAGACTTAATACTCCACTGTCAATCTGCTCTTACCATCAGGAAGCTGTTCCTAATGTTTAGGTGGAATCTTATTTTTCCTGCAGCTTGAATCCGTTGCTCCATTGTGTCCTAGTCTCCAGAGCAACAGTCTTGCCCCATCCTCAATGTGACATTCTTTCAGATATTTAAATACTAGCTGTCCCCTGCCACACATTGCAGTGGCCCAGTCTGTTGATCTGGAAAATAAAGTAATGAGAAAGTGTTGACACGCTCATTGTTATGTTATGTTATTTTATTTTAGTGTGTATGATTTTGCTTTATCGTCTTTGTACTCATATGTTGTATGTATTTTATTGTGTTGTTATTGTGTTTTGGTTTTACTTTATTGTAATATGCTGTTGGGCTTGGCCTCATGTAAGCTGCCCCGAGTCCCCATTGGGGAGATGGTGATGGGGTATTAAATATAGTTTATTATTATTATTATTATTATTATTATTATTATTATTATTATTGGTTTCTAATATACCGTATATACTCGAGTATAAGCCGACCCAAATATAAGCCGAGGCACCTAATTTTATCACAAAAAACTGGGAAAACGTATTGACTTGAGTATAAGCTGAGGGTGGGAAATGCGTCCACTATGGGTCAATTTCAAAATAAAAATAGATACCAATAAAATTACATTAATTGAGGCATCAGTAGATTAAATATTTACATAAAACTGTAATTTAAGATAAGACTGTCCAACTCTTATTAAACCATTATTCTAACTTCCTTCAATGTAAATGTACTTATTATTAAAATAATAAATATAAAAATAATAGAGTAAAATAATGAAAATGCAATAAAAACAGTAATAATAGAGTAAAATAATAAATGTAGTAGTAATAGGGTAAAATACTGTAAATGTAATAATAATAATAATAATAATAATAATAAATAGATTAAAATAATAAATGTAATAATAATAATAATCGAGCAAAATAATAAATAGAATAATAATAGAGCAAAATAATGTAAATATAATAATAATAGAGTAAAATAATAAATGTAATAATACTAATAACAGAGTAAAAGAATAAATAACCTTGACTCGAGTAGAAGTCGAGGGGAGCTTTTTCAACTTAAAAAAGGGGCTGAAAAATTAGGCTTATACTCGAGTATATACAGTATGTAATTTCTTTATGCTTGTGTGTAAACAGTATTTCTTGTTGTTTCTTTGTCAGTGTTGATGTGGAGATTGTCTAATGTGCCCACTCTGGAACATGCAACATATAATTGTCCTTCTTTAGGGGTCCCTTTCAAATCTATTATACTATATCTGTGTGTGTGTGAATCATATATATCTATCTATATCTATGGCTGGATGGCTCTTTGTCAGGAGGGCTTTGATTACGTTTTCTTGCCCTGATGAAGGGAGTTGGACTGGATGGCCTTAAGGTCATGGGGGTTCTGTGTGGGAAGTTCGCCTCAATTCTGTCATTCGTGGGGTTCAGCATGCTCTTTGTAGGTGAACTGTGAATCAAAGTGACTACAACTCCCAAATGTCAAGGTCTATTTTCCCCAAACTCCATCTGTGTTCATATTTGGGCGTATTGAGTGCTTGTGCCAAGTTTGGTCCAGATCCATCATTGTTTGAGTCCACAGTGCTCTCTAGATGTAGGTGAACTACAACTCCCAAATTCAGTGCCTACCATTGGAGGGGGGAATGAGTTTGTCATTTGGGAATTGTAGATTTATAGTTCACCTACAATTAAAGAGTATTCTGAACTCCACCACTGGTGAAATTGAACCAAACTTGTCACACAGAACCCCCATGACCAGCAGAAAATACTGGAAGAGTTTGGTGGGCATTGACCTTGAGTTTTGGCATTGTAGTTCACCAACATCCAGAGTACTGTGGACTCAAGCAATGATGGATCTGGACCAAACTTGTCACGAATACTCAAGATGCCCAAATGTGAACATTGGTAGAGTTTGGGGAAAATAGACATTTGGGAGTTGTAGTTGCTAGGATTTATAGTTCACCTACAATCACTGCGAAGGTAGTGTGTCCTCAGCCTCTCGGTATAGAAGCCGGTGAGCAGGTTTTCACTATTTCGATGAAGCACTTGTATTCCTCAGGAATTGGGGCACCCAATATGATCTTGTCATCTAACATTGCTGAGAATTTAGACGAATCTGCCTTTCTGAAGTCGATTTGCAGCCTAAGAAAAGGGGATTGGCGGGATGGGGAGGCCTGATCGAACAACGCATTCTCTGTTTTGGGTTCCAGGCGCATCCTGAAATGCAACCCTCCCTTCCCTTCAGTCATTGGTCCAGTGGCTCGTGACCTGCTTCAGAAGCTGCTCTGCAAGGACCCTAAGAAGCGCTTGGGGTCGGGGCCCACTGGCGCACAGGAGATCAAAGAGCACCCCTTCTTCAGGGTGAGGTCGGGTTTCCTTTTGGTTGGTGATACGGAAAGGTGTATTATTACGGAATAATAATAATAATAATTATTATTATTATTATTATTATTATTATTATTATTATCTAGTACTTTTCAAGCAGGGAGGAGGAAAGGTGCTTGTGGGATTTCTCCCTTCACCACCCTACCTGCTGGACTACTCCCCAGCCTTTGCACGCACTTCCATGTTGCTCTGTTTAAAAAGTGGTTTAGCTGCTGCTGATCCTGCAAGAAATCTATGGGGCTCTAGGCTTGACTCTTCCCAAGTCTATAGCCCAGGTCTGGGCAAACTTTCTAACTTTGGGGCCACATACTAGCACTACCTGCTAAGAGGCCTGGCTTCCTGGTGATGGAAGGAAGGGAGGAAAGGAGGAAGGAAAGAAAGAAGGATAATAATAATCATCATCATCATCATCATCATCATCATCATCATCATCATTGGAGCCCCCGGTGGCGCAGTGGGTTAAAGCACTGAGCTGCTGAGCTTGTTGATTGAAAGGTTGCAGGTTCAATTCCGGGGAGCGGCGTGAGCTTCCGCTGTCAGCCCTAGCTTCTGCCAACCTAGCAGTTCGAAAACATGCAAATGTGAGTAGATCAATAGATACTGCTCTGGCGGGAAGGTAACGGTGCTCCATGCAGTCATGCCAGCCACATGACCTTGGAGGTGTCTATGGACAACGCCGGCTCTTCGGCTTAGAAATGGAGATGAGCACCACACCCCAGAGTCAGACATGAATGGACTTAATGTCAGGGGACTACCTTTATCTTACTTTAATAATAATAATAATAATGATAATAATAATAACAACAACAACAACTTTATTTATACCTCGCCACCATCTCCCCAATGGGGACTCGGGGCGACTTACATGAAGCCAAGCCCAGACACATATTGCAGATAAAACCAAAACATAAGCAACAAGCAACAGCATTAAAATTACATTAAAAAAGAAAAAAAACATGAATACAGTAACAAAATAACATTACAATAAACACAATCACAGTGACAGTGGGCAGGCCACATGTGCAGGATAAAATGTTTAAAAACTCGAATGAGATAAGAATTTTTTTTTGTCGTGTCAGGAGCGACTTGAGAAACTGCAAGTCGCTTCTGGTGTAAGAGAATTGGCCGTCTGCAAGGACGTTGCCCAGGGGACGCCCGAGTGATTTGATGTTTTATCATCCTTGTGGGAGGCTTCTCTCATGTCCCCGCATGAGGAGCTGGAGCTGATAGAGGGAGATCATCCGCGCTCAGGGAGCAAAATGGGAGGAAGGACAAAAGGGAGGAAGGGAAGGATGGAAGGAGAAAGAGGGAGAGAGGGAAGGAAGGAAGGAAAGAATGACAAAAGGGAAGGAAAGAAGGATGAAAGGGTGGAAGGGGAGGATAGAAAGGGAAGGAGGAAGGAAAAAGAAAGGAGGATTAAAAGGATGGAATAAGGAAGGGAAGGAGGAAGGAAAGGCAAAAGGAAAGGAAAGACAAAGGGGAAGGAGAAATAGGGAGGAAAGAGGGAAGGAAGTACAAAAGGGTGGAAGGGGAGGATGAAAGGAGAAAGAGAGGGAGAAGGGTGGGAGGTAAGAAGGAAGGAAAGAGAGGAGGAAGGAAAGACAAAAGGGAGGGAAAGAGGAGAAGGGAAGGAAAGGAAAGGTGGACGACAAAGAAAGGAAAAAGGAAAAAGGAAAGAGGAAAGAAGGAAGGAAAGGAAGGCGGGAAAGAAGAAGGAGAAGGAGGAAGGAAGAGAAAAATGGAAGGAAAGAAGATAAAGGGGAAAGGAGAAAGGAGAAGAAAAGAAAAACAAAAGGGATGGAAGGAAGGGAAGGAGGAAGGAAAGGCAAAAGGAAAGACAAAGGGGAAGGAGAAATAGGGAGGAAAGAGGGAAGGAAGGACAAAAGGATGGAAGGGAAGGATGAAAGGAGAAAGAGAGAGAGAAGGGTGGGAGGTAAGTAGAAAGGAAAGAGAGGAGGAAGGAAAGACAAAAGGGAGGGAAGGATAAAAGGATGGAAGGGAAGGAAGGGATAAAGGAAAGGGAGAAGGAAGGAAAGACAAAAGGGAAAGGAAGAAGAAAGGAAAAAAGAGGGAAAGAGGGGCAAAAGGGAGGAAGGGAAGGGTGGAAAGAGAAAGAGGGAGGGAAGGAGGAAGGAAAGAGGATATGAAGGAAAGACAAAAGGAAGGGAAAGAGAAGGACAAAAGGGTGGAAGGGAAGGAAGGAAGGAGAAGAATGGAAGGACAAAAGGGAAGGGAGGAAAGAGGAGGAGAAGGAGAGAGGAAAGGAAGAGGACCAAATTGAAGGGAAGGAGGGGGGAAGGGAAAGATGAAAGGAAGAAGGAAGAAAGAGGAGGGAGGGAAGAGAAGGAAAGAGAGAACGAAGGAAGGAGAGAGAGGAGGGCCTGAGAAAAGAGACCAAGGCCTGGGTTTGCCCATACCTGCTATAGCCCCTTCCAAAAACAAAACTCCAAAAACCCTACAACTGCTAGAATTTTGTGGAAAAGAGCCAAGACATTTAGTAACCCCTTGACTTTGGTGTCGTCTCCCCAGGGTCTGGACTGGACAGAGCTGGCTGACCGCCGCATGCGGCCGCCCTTCAAGCCCCTCATCCGGAGTGAGCTGGACGTCCGGAATTTCGCAGAGGAGTTCACCAGCTTGGAGCCCATCTATTCCCCCGCTGGGACCCCTCCCAGCCTTGACCGTGTCTTCCAGGTGAATGCTCACCTTTTTTGGTTAAATTGCCTTGCCCAAATTCAGGTGTGCATTAGATTTGAGTCATACGGTCATCGTAGTTGGGTTGCTGTGAGTTTTCCAGGTTGTCTGGCCATGTTCCAGAAGCATTCTCTCCTGATGTTTCACTCACATCTATGGCAGGCATCCTCAGAGGTTGAAGGGTCTGTTGGAAATAGGCAAGTAGGGTTTTGAATATTGCTCTTTATTTAATCTGGCTACCAGTATTAAAAAAAACTCTAAAATTAGGACATTAAATAAAGAGCAACACTAAAAAACAGGGGAATTCCAGATAAATCAGTCGGGGCCACTTAACACCCCCCAACAAAGGATTCCCCCAGGCAGTAATCAGCCAGGCTTTGAAGCTGCAAGGCCATTAAATGCTAATCAACATGGCCAATTGCAACATTCACACTTGCCTCAAGCAGACAAAAGTTATTTTTTTCCCATCCTGGACATTATTCACAGATACATAAACCTCACTTGCTTAGTTTCCAATAGACTCACAACCTCTGAGGATGCCTGCCATAGATGTGGGCGAAATGTCAGGAGGAAATGCTTCTGGAACATGGCCTGACAGCTTGGAAAACTCACAGCAACCCAGTGATTCCGGCCGTAAAAGCCTTCGACAAGGTCATTGCAGTGCTGAGCCAAAGCAAAAGGGGAAGTGGCTTCAGAGTATCACCTCTAATGTTTGGCTTCAGGAACTCATCTTTGAGGAGTGTCACCTCTAATTGTTTCATATTGAGCCATGGGATTTATAGTTTCATAGAATCATAGAAGAGACCTCATGGGCAAGAAGCAGGAATATTGCATTCAAACCACCCCTGACAGATGGCCATCCAGCCTTTGTTTAAAAGCTTCCAAAGAAGGAGCCTCCACCACACTCCGGGGCAGAGAGTTCCACTGCTGAACGGCTCTCACGGCTTGTCAAACTACATCCCCCATGATTCCATAGCATTGAACCAAAGCAGTTAAAGTGGAGTCATCCTGCAGCATAGATACACCCCAAAGTTTCCTTTCTCGTTGCTGGAAGCTTTGGTGTTCGAAATTACAGAGAGGGTATTTTTTGACTAGAGGCCTCTGAGATGCCTCTGCTGATCCTTGCACCTTTTTTCAAAAGGGATATTCCTTCATTGCGCCTTCAATCCTCTTCAACCGCAATGCTGTGACGGCCGACGTCCTTTGGGCGGCATTGGATGCGGAGCGGCCAGGAAGCTCTGCTGTGGCTCGGAGTGCAATGATGAAGGTAACAGTCCAGCAACCAAGGAATGCTTTCAATCAGGGACAATTTCATCCTAGATTTTTCATCCTAGATTCATCCTAGGTCTTTCCTGCACCACAGAGACATCCCAGTGTTCCTTTCTCTCTCCATTGATGTGGAATTTGCATGATCCCACCCACTGCCTCTCCCTTAACCCTTTCCTACTCTCATCAACTCTGTCTGCACAACAAACAGAACTATGTTAACATAAACGGTGTAAATACACTGCATATAAACCACACAAAGAAATTGCAAGTCTGAGTGCTACTTGGTTATCTCGTAGTCCTTGAGAAAATAAACTGTCTTCAAAATACAGTCCAAATAAAGTCCAAATAGTTCAAATTGCTGTCCAGTTCAAAATATTGTCCAAATTATAATGCGACAAGGATCCCCGGGTTGAGGTTGCTTTGTTTTGGGGGACTTCCCCTTCTTCAGGATTTCGTCTTCTTTATAAAAGTGGGTGGTTCACCATACATCCCCAAATGGGTGATAACAAACAACATAATAGATATGCCAAAAAAGGCACCCAAACCAAAACATTCAGTGATAATGACATGTATTCCAGTGGGAAAGACTACACACATGTTGATTAGATCAGATCTCACTAAACCTACCATAAAAAGTCTACCTAGTCTTAGAGGACATACTTACTGTGGACACTGTGAATGTTGCTCTCAATCCTTGAAGACTCAACAATTCATACACCCAACCAAGAAGATGACTATACTCTTAAATGATTTACTACCTGTTCTTCAGAAAATGCTATATATTGTATTTTATGCCCATGTGACCTTCTTTATATTGGAATGACAAGTAGATCTGTCAAGGTCAGAATTATGGAACATCGCTCATGCATAAAAAACAAACATTGCTATAGATATCTGTGTTTCTTTGAGATTGCACAACAAACAGAGCAGAACTAATAATCAACTAAACATACTGGAGGAGTTTGGCGGATTGACTTCGCATGATGGAAATTGTAGTTCACCTTACATCAAGTCAGAGCACTGTGACCCCCACTGACAATGGATCTGGATCACATTTTCCACACAGATCCCCCATGACCAACATAAAATACTGGAGAAGTTTGGGGAAAATTCACCTTGATTTATAGCCATTGTACGTGCTTGGATTTATAGTTCACCTGCAATCAAAGAGGACCCTGGACCCCACCAACGATGGCCCTGAACCTAACTTAGCACACAGAACCCCCATGACCAACTGAAAATACTGGAGGGGTTTGGGGGGAACTGACCTTCATTTCTGGAAGTTGTAGCTCACTTACATCCAGAGACACTGTGACCACCACTGATGACGGATCTGGACCAAACTTGGCATACAGGATCCCCATGAGGGAATTGATTTACCATAGTGGGAACTCCAAACTTGCCCAACATGACAAACTTTAAGCACTGATGAGAGTTTCGGGGGGTTAATCTGGCGTGATGTGAGTTGCAGTTCACCCACAACCTTAAGTATTTTGTAAAAAAACTTTTTCAAATAACCCGGGCAATGCTGGGGACCCAAGCTAGTAGTGGTAGTAGTAATTATAATAATAATTGTATTTTTCAATTCTGAGACACACTTTTTCCCTATATAACATATCTAAAAACGAGGTGCACCTTACAATCGCAAGTGTATATTATGTCTTTTTGTTGGTGATACCGGAATTTAAAATCTCAAACATCCGGAGGTTCAGTGCTTGAGGTTTCCTCCAGTTGGGTGGGTCTGGGTTTGGGAGGAACTCTCTTGAGGAACCCTGCTCTAACACCCTCTTCTCTCCATCCCTCCTTTTTCCTGCCCAGGATTCGTCATTCTTCCAAAAGTACGAGCTGGACTTGAAGGAACCGCCATTGGGCGAGGGAAGCTTCTCTTTGTGCCGCCGCTGCCGACAGCGCCAAAATGGCGCCGAATTTGCCGTCAAGATCATCAGCAAGAGGTGACTGGTTCCTCTTCCTTCAACCCTTTCCCTTCTTCTGAAAGGGTGCTTGCGCTTCTCGTAACACAGCAAGACCTCAGATCTGCCTTCTCTTTTCACTTGTGGAATTGTTTCCTTTGCACTTTACAGAAGTAAATGATCAAACTTAAAGAATGGGAACCGAAAGCACAAAACCCAAGGGGCAGGACTTTCCCAGCATGATATATATGAGCATGCATCAACAACTGCAATTCCAATTATTATTATTATTATTATTATTATTATTATTATTATTATTATTATATGAGGATTTAAAGATTACTTACTTAGGCGATCCCTCGTTTTCCGAGGAGGATTGTCTTCCAGTATTCTTGTGTGGCTGTGGAGCCCTATTCTTGCTCTGCATCTCCTTCCGCAGTGAGAGCATTGGTTTCCAGGTGGAAGGCAGTCTCAGTCGGGACTGGCTTGATGCGCCTTACTCTTGGCATGCTTCTCCCTTCACCCTCCATTCATGCCTCTTCAAATTCTGCAGCACTGCTGGTCACAGCTGACCTCCAGCTGGAGCGCTCAAGGGCCAGGGCTTCCCAGTTCTCAGTGTCTATGCCAGAGTTTTTAAGGTTGGCTTTGAGCCCATCTTTAAATCTCTTTTCCTGCCCACCAACATTCCGTTTCCCGTTCTTGAGTTCGGAGTAGAGCAACTGCTTTGGGAGACGGTGGTCTGGCATCCGGACAACGTGGCCAGTCCAGTGGAGTTGATGGCGGAGGACCATCACTTCAGTGCTGGTGGTCTTTGCTTCTTCCAGCATGCTGACGTTTGTCCGCCTATCTTCCCAAGAGATTTGCAGGATTTTCCGGAGGCGGCGCTGATGGAATCGTTCCAGGAGTTGCATGTGACGTCTGTAGACAGTCCACGTCTCACAGGCATATAGCAGGGTTGGGAGGACAATAGCTTTATAAACAAACACCTTGGTATCCCTATTATTATTATTATTATTATTATTATTATTATTATTATTACTATCCAATTATTCTCAAACACTCTGTGCTTCATTCGGAAAAATGCTGCGCTCGCAGAGCTCAGGCGGTGTTGTATTTCGGCATCGATGCTGACTTTGGTGGAGAGGTGGCTGCCAAGGGAGTGGAATGGTCAACATTTTCTAATGTTACACCATTAAGCTGTATCACTGGCATTGGAGAGGGGTTGGCTGGTGTCTGCTGGAACAGCACCTTGGTTTTTTCAATGTTCAATGACAGGCCAAGATTCTTGTATACTGGTTTTATGTAGGTGTTTAGAGTGGCTTGTAGGGCTTCTTCTGAATGCGCACAGACGATGTTGTCATCAGCATACTGGAGTTCTATAACAGATGTTGTTGTAACCTTGGTTTTGGCTTTCAGTCTGCTGAGGTTAAACAGCTTGCCATCTGTCCGATAGATGATTTCCTCTCAACAAGTGAAGTATCATAGCGATGAAGATGGAGAATAAAGTTGAGGCAATAACACATCCCTGTTTGACACCGGATAGAACTCGAAAGACGCGCCTTACTCTTGGCACAAGCCAGAGGTGGTCCCAATGGTGATCAGCACACTATGGGTGCAGTGCCTCAAGACTTTGGCCTGCACTTAAAAACAATTGGCACTGACAAAATTACCATCTATCAGTTGCAAAAGGCCATCCTACCCAGATCTGCACGCATTATTCATCAATACATCACACTGTCCTAGACACCTGGGAAGTGCCCAACGTGTGATCCAATACAACGGCCAGCAGAGTGATCTTGTTTGCTGTGGACTAATCTTGTTGTGTTTCAAATAATAATAATAATAATAATAATAATAATAATAATAATAATAATAATAATATATTTGAGTATAAGCCGAACCGAATATAAGCCGAGGGACCTAATTTTACCACAAAAAACTGGGAAAACGTATTGACTCGAGTATAAGCCAAGGGTGAGAAATGTAGCTGCTACTGATATTTGTCAGTAGGTTAAATGTTTTTGAGTATTTACACAAAACCATAATTTAAGATAAGACTGCCCAACTCTGATTCAACCATTATTCTAACCTCTTTCAATGTAAATGTGCTGCTTACCTATTACCAATAATGATAGAATAAGATAATAAATGTAATAAAAATAATAATAGAGTAAATAGTGAAAATTTAATAATAATAGTAATAATAATAAAGTAATAAATGTAATAATAACAATAATAGAGTAAAATAATAAATGCAATAAATAGAATAATACAGTAAAATAATGTAAATGTAATAATAATAGAGTAAAATAATAAATGTAATAAATGTAATAAAAATAATAGAGTAAAATAATGTAAATATAATAATAATAATAATAATAACAACAGAGTAAAATAATAAATGTAATAAAAATAATACTAATAGCAGAGTAAAATAACCTTGACTCAAGTATAAGCTGAGGGGATTTTTTTCAGCTTAAAAAAGGGGCTGAAAAACTAGGCTTATACTCGAGTATATACAGTAATTATAATAATGGGAAGTGTCCGACGTGTGATCCAATACAACAGCCAGCAGAATGATCTTGTTTGCTGTGTACTAATCTTGTTATGTATCAATTAATAATAATAATAATAATAATAAAGAATTTGAAAGTATATCTCAGTTAACTAGGCCTCTGAGAAATACGCTCTTATTTACAAAGCCTTTTTCTTTCATAAGCCCAGCCCTGACCTGAATTAATGAGAAACGGTGGATGAGACTCACTCCCCATGTAATAGTTAAGATAATGAATACACAGCCCAACAAAAACATTATTGGTGTGTTTTTTTAGGCATGTTCCTGAGGTGGTTGTTGTTGTAATTTGATACACAATAAAGATTAGCACACAAGATCACTATGCTGGCTTTTGAATTCAAAGTACTGTATAAGCCTGGTTTTTCAGCCCCTTTTTTAGGCTGATAAAGCTCCCCTCAGCTTATACTCGAGTCAAGGTTATTAGTTATTTTACTCTGTTATTAGTATTATTTTTATTTCATGTATTATTTTACTCTCTTTATTATTATTACATTATTATTACATTTATTATTTTACCCTATTTATGATTATGATTTATTATTTTACTTTATGATTTATTATTTTACTTTATTATTATTGCATTTATTATTTTACTCTATTATTACATTTATTATTCTACACTATTATTACTGTTGTTATTGCATATTTTACTTTATTATCATTATTATATTTATTATTTTACTCTCTTTATTATTGTTGGAAGGATATTTACATTGTACATTTACATAAGTACATTTACATTGAAGATATGTAATGATTTAATCAGAGTTGGGCAGTGTTATCTCAAATTACAGTTTTATGTAAATATTAAAAAACATTTCACCTCCTGATGCCTCAATTAATGTAATTTTATTGGTATCTGTTTTTATTTTGAAATTTACCTGTAGTGGTTGCATTTCCCACCACTCGAGTCAATATGTTTTTCCAGTTTTTTGTGGTAAAATTAGATGCCTCGGCTTAAATTCGGGTCGACTTATACTCGAGTATATACGGTATTCGATGTATCGTATTGTATTCGATGTATGTGATGACAGCTGACCAGCTGACCATTCCTCAGGTCTGCAACATTTGGAGGCACAGTTGTGAGCTTGTTGTGGCTGAGGACCAGCTGGGTGATGTTTGACAGTGCCAATTGTTTTAAAGTGCAGGCCAAGGTCTTTAGGCACTGCACCCAGTGTACTGATCACCACTGGAACGACTTGACCGGCTTGTGCCAGAGTCTTTGCAGTTCAATCTTTAAATCCTCATATTGAACTGCTAGGTTGGCAGGAGCTAGGAGCTCACCACATCCCATGGATTCGAACTGCCAACCTTCAGGTCAGCAGTTAAGCAGCAGAAGGGTTTAATCCATTGTGCCACAGTGGCCCCTGTAGTTCTTTAGTTCTTATACCCAAATGGCTGTGTTTCTAACTCCATCCCACCCCTCCACCCAGAATGGAAGTGAACACGCAGCGAGAAGTGGCCGCCTTGCAAATCTGCGAAGCCCATCCAAACATTGTCAAGTTGCATGACATCCATCATGACCAGGTGAGCGAGTTTACTCTCTTCCTCTAAAAAGGCAAAAAACCAAAAACAAAACCACCAGCAGCACACACACCTTGCCCCCCCCCCCCCCCCCCCCCACCCCGTACACACACAGTTCCTTAACTTTTTGGTCCCTTCCCTTTTTCCTAGTACCATACATATCTGGTGATGGAATTGCTCCGAGGCGGGGAACTCCTGGACCGCATCAAGAGGAAGCAGCACTTTAGTGAGTCTGAAGCCAGCCAGATTATGCGCAGCCTGGTCTCTGCCGTCAGTTTCATGCATGACGCCGGGGTCGTGCACCGCGACCTTAAGCCTGAGGTATGTATGGAAAAGAGGAGGGGGTGTCTACTGAGTGAGCTTGTTCAAAGGCATAGGAGAGCTAGGATTTGCAGAGGATGCTCCCCTCTGTCCCAGACACTACTTGTCTCTAAGGCCCCTTCCACATGGCTGAATAAAATCCCACATTTTCTGATTTGAACTGGAATATATGGCAGTGTGGACTTGGACAACCCAGATATTGTGGGATTTTCAGCCTTGATATTCTGATTTATTTAGCTTTGTTGCAGATTAAGTTCTTTCTGGTTAATTTGGGGGGGGGGGTTGTGAAGGGCATAGATTGCTTTGGTGTTCGAATTGCTTTGGTGTTTGGTCTTGTGTTCGAATTTGATGTCAATTCCTCCAGTGGTTTTTGAGTTCTGTTAATACCACAAACAAACATTACATTTTTATTTATATAAAGATTAAGTGTACAGTTAGGCTGTTTTATATTGTTCGATGTGTCCTGTTTTGATGTAATTTGCTAATATGTCACTGAATGTTTGCCATATGTGTTGGAGACAGCTCTGAGTCCCTTCGGGGAGATTCATATAAATTATTATTATTATTTGAAACACAACAAGATTAGTCCATAGCAAATAAGATCACTCTGCCGGCTGTTATATTGGATCACACGTCGGACAATTCCCAAGTGTCTACGACTGTGTGATGTATTGGCAAATAATGCATGCAGATCCCAGTAGGGTGTCCTTTTGCAGCTGGCAGATGGTAATTTCGTCAGCATTGATTGTGTTTAAGTGCAGGCCAAGGTCTTTAGGCACTGCACCCAGTGTGCCGATCACCACTGGGACCACCATGACTGGCTTGTGCCAGATTCTTTGCAGTTCAATCTTCAAATCCTTATATTACTATTATTAAAATCCTATTATTATTATTATTATTATTATTATTATTATTATTATTATTAGGCTTTGATTGTGTCTTTCTGCATAGACTGGATGATCCTTACAATCTCTCCCAACTCTCAGATTCTATAATAATGAAAACAATAATAATAATCTTTTATGATGCTGATGGTGGTGGAGATGTTGTCTCCTTTTCTGGAGGTGTTTAAGTAGAGGCTGGATGGCTGTCTATCGGGAAAACGTTGATTTTGTCTTCCGGCATGGCAGGGAGTCTCTTCAAACTCTTATGATTCTATGTTAATAACCTTTGATAATGATGATGGTGATGCTGGAATCTCCTTCTGTGGAGGCAGAGGTCTATTGAGAAGTCTCATTCCTCTGTGTGCTCCTCTCTCAGAATATTCTCTATGCGGACGAATCCGAAGGGGCTCCCGTGAAGGTGATTGACTTTGGCTTTGCCCGCCTGCGCCCCCAGAACTCGCAGCCCATGCAGACGCCCTGCTTCACCCTGCAGTATGCCGCCCCTGAGCTCTTGCGAGACGGGGGCTACGACGAGTCTTGTGACCTCTGGAGCCTCGGGGTTATCTTGGTAGGTGAGACGGGGCAAAATGCTCTTTCAGGAAGGAATGGGAAAGCAGGGTTTCTTCCAGACACAGAGTGGATGGATGGATAGATACGTAGATGAGTGGATGGATAGATGGATGGAAGATTGGATGGATGGACTGATACATGGATAGATAGATAGATAGATAGATAGATAGATAGATAGATAGATAGATAGATAGATGAATGGGTGGGTGGGTGGGTGGATAGATACGTAGATGAGTGGATGGATAGATGGATGGAAGGTTGGATGGATGGATACATGGATGGGTGGATGGATAGATAGATACATGGATGGACAGATGGATGGATGGATACATGGATGGGTGGATAGATATGTAGATGGATGGAAGGTTGGATGCATGGATGGATAGATAGATACATGGATGGGTGGATGAATGGACAGGTGGACGGACGGACGGACGGACAGATGCATGGATGGATGGACGGACGGATAGTGGATATGAGTGGATGGATAGATGGATGGAAGGTTGGATGGATGGACAGATGGATACATGGATGGGTGGATGGATAGATACATGGATGGACAGATGGATGGACGGATACATGGATGGGTGGATAGATATGTAGATGGATGGAAGGTTGGATGGATGGACGGATACAAGGATGGGTGGATGGATAGATGGGTGGATGGATAGATGGTGGGTGGGTAGATGGATGGATGGGTGGATACGGATGGGTGGATACGTCCATCCAGATGGATGGATGGATACATGGATGGATGGATGGATGGATGGATGGATGGATGGATGGATGGATGGATAGATAGATAGATAGATAGATAGATAGATAGATAGATAGATAGATAGATAGATAGATAGATAGATAGATAGATAGATGAGTGGATGGGTGGATGGGTGGATGGATGGATGGATGGATAGATAGATGGGTGGATGGATATGTATGGATGGATGGGTGGGTGGATGGATGAATAGATACACGGATAGGATGGATAAAGTGGATGGATGGGTACAGTCATTGATTGTTAGATAGATGAATATAAAGATGGCTAGATAGATGGATAAATAGATAGATCCATGGAGGGATAGATAGATGGATAGATGGGTGGATGGATGGATGAAAAAGTGGATGATAAAGATAGATAGATAGATAGATAGATAGATAGATAGATAGATAGATAGATAGATAGATAGACAGACAGACAGACAGACAGACAGACAGACAGACAGACAGACTTTTATTTATATAGGTGATACTATTCTGTACCTTTCATTGCTTTTCATCATGGCCTTGGACTTGTACATAAACATATGGATTAATATGATGCAAAACCAGCCTGAAAGAAAATACTTTTGCAAAACCACACGATTCCCATCCTGCCAGGCTGGCAGAGGAACAGGGAAGGGTGCCCCAAATGGCATCTTTCCTGTGTCCTGACTTCCCCGCTCCCTTTCTTCCCTCCTTTGCAGTACACCATGCTCTCCGGACAGGTCCCATTCCACAGCAGCCAAGATGGGAGCGCAGCAAACCATGCGGCTGAGATTATGCACAAGATCAAGGAGGGCCGGTTTTCTTTAGAGAGCGAGGCCTGGAAGAATGTGTCCGAAGAGGCCAAGGAACTGGTGAGAGGTGAGGCTGAGAAAGATCCTGGGGGGAATTATCGGAAGGAGGCATAGCTGAGATAAAGTGGAATAAGGGGGACTGGACTTCACTGCAGAGCTCACAGGGCTTACTTCCTCACTTTAGTTTCTTTTTGGGCTCTGAGAAAACTACTAGGGGTTTCAAAAAAGATGGACGCAATTTGAAACCCAAATCACCCCCCGCCATACAGGAAGACACCATCAAAGCCCTCCTGACAGATGGCCATTCAGGTCATTTCCCATTTCAAGGGTCTGTGAAACACCCTCGAAGTAGGACATTGGATGTTGGGTCTCCTTGGTTTGTCAGGAAAGTGAGTTTTCCTCGCATGTTTGGATGGCTAATGGATCCCCCGCCCGCTTTTTGACCAGGCCTCCTCACCGTGGATCCTGCCAAGCGGCTGAAGATCTCCAGCCTGCGCTACAATGAGTGGCTGCTGGACGGGAGCGCCCTCTCCTCCACGCCCCTGATGACCCCAGACATCCTGGAGAGCTCAGGGCCTGCCGTGCGTACCGGCGTCAACGTCGCCTTTATGGTGAGCCAGAAACAGGCATTTCAGCAGTGGTGGATTGGACAGTATGGGGAAGGAGGACCTCCAAACTGGTGGGACTGCTTTGCAACTGTGGCGCACAAGGACCACGGGAGGCAGAATTTATCTTGCCACATAATAATAGTAATAATGTTCTATTTCTTTAATTGTAAGATTCCCCCTGGTGGTGGAGCAGGTTAAACTGCTAGGCTGCTGAATATCTGGGGAGTGGGGTGAGCTCCCGCTGTTAGCCCCAGCTTCTGCCAACCTAGCAGTTCAAAAACATGCAAATATGAGTAGATACCGCTTCTGCAGTTATTGTTACTGTAGGTTCTTGTGGGTTTTTTCAGGCTATATGGCCATGTTCTAGAGGCATTTCTCCTGACGTTTCGCCTGCATCTATGGCAAGCATCCTCAGAGGTAGTGAGGTCTGTTGGAACTAGGAAAAGGGGTTTATATATCTGTGGAATGGCTGGGGTGGGGCAAGGAGCTCTTCTCTGCTGGAGCTAGGTGTGAATGTTTCAACTGATCACCTTCATTACACATACAAACAATCTACAAACCCACCAAGAAAATCCAACAAATGCTACGTTCAGTAAAGGACAAGAGGGATCCTCTCACTTCTGCAGGAGTCTACCGTATACCATGCAGCTGTGGACAAGTCTACATAGGGACCACCACACGCAGCAGCATTGCCCAAACACGCATCCAGGAACATGAAAGGCATGGCAGACTACGTCAACCAGAGAAGTCAGCCATAGCAGAGCACCTGAGGAACCAGCCTGGACACAGCATATTATTTGAGAACACAGAAATGCTGGACCACACCAACAACCACCATGTCAGACTACACAGAGAAGCCATTGAAATCCACAAGCATGTGGACAATTTCAACAGAAAGGAAGAGACCATGAAAATGAACAAAATCTGGCTACCAGTATTAAAAAACTCTACAATTATAACAGCAAAACAGCAGAGGCACATCTTAACACCTCTCAACAGGGTATTTTCCCAGGCTCAGCCAAGCCTTCAAATGCTAATGAAGGTGATCAGTTGAAACATTCACACCTAGCTCCAGCAAAGAAGAGCTCCTTGCCCCACCCCAGCCATTCCACAGATATATAAACCCTTTGTCCTAATTCCAACAGACCTCACTACCTCTGAGGATACTTGCCATAGATGCAGGCGAAACGTCAGGAGAGAATGCCTCTAGAACATGGCCATATAGCCCGAAAAAACCCACAAGAACCTAGTGATTCCGGCCATGAAAGCCTTCGACAATATATTGTTACTGTGCTTATTAAAATGTTATTTTATGACTGCCTTTTTTTTTGCTTATTTTGATGATGTTTCTGTTGTTTGTTGTTTATGCTGATTTTATTGCTGTAATATGTTGTCTGGGCTTGGCCCCATGTAAGCTGCTCCGAGTCCCCACTGGGGAGATGGTGGCGGGGTATAAATAAAGTTTATTATTATTATTATTATTATTATACAGCTCGGAAAACTCACAACCCCCCAGTGATTCCGGCCATGAAAGCCTTTGACAATACTGTTTCCAGTCTCTGTAACAATCACCTATTAGGGCAAGGTTTTGAAACGAGAGCCAGTTCTTGACTCTCTTCTTCTTCTTCTCCGCGCCTTTTTCCCAGGCCTTCAACAAGGGCAAGCGTGAAGGCTTTTTCCTGAAGAGCGTCGAGAACGCCCCACTCGCCAAGCGGCGCAAGCTCAAGATGTCCAGCACTGGTGCCGAAGCCCGTCGCAGCAGCAGCTCTTCCTCTTCTTCCTCCTCCTCCTCCTCCTCCTCTTCTTCCTCCTCGGCCGCCTCGTCCCGTCCCCACAAAGCCGCCAAGGCCCCCGCCGCCCTCCTTCACCACGACCCCAAGTCGTAGCAAGAGCAGGAAAGGGATCCCACGCTAAAGGGGGCAGAAGGGAAGTGGGTATTTATTGTCTGTGTTGCTGTTTTGGGGAGACCAGCGTTCTCCTCCGTGAATATTTCCCTCCAGTTCCCTCCTTGCCTCCCTCCCTCCTTTCCGAGCTCATATCCATTCTCTTGGCGGGGATCTGTTGTTTTTCTTGTGAAAGTGGAGGAAACTCTCTGTAAAGCACAAGCGGATGTGGCTCTTTGGAGATCCCGTTCTCGAGAGGCCCCATTTTTGCCCGCAGGAAGTGACAGGAAAACCGCACTTTTGAAAATTGCCAAAATTGCCAACCCATTTCAGATGGCTGTTTGAGGGAACAGATGCCACCGTGGGGGAGGGAAAAGTCAGATTACCAGAAGGCAATAATAGTTTGCTGCCCCCTCTGCAAGTTCAGGGCCCAGGCAAGCTACCAAGAGGTCTGGGTAAGAGAAAAGGTTTCCCCTTGACATTAAGTCCGACTCTGGGGGGTGGTGCTCATCTCCATTTCTAAGCCGAAGAGCCGGCATTGTCCATAGATGCCTCCAAGGTCATGTGGCCGGCATGACTGCATGGAGCGCCGTTACCTTCCCACCGGAATGGTATCTACTGATCTACTCACACTGGAGCCCCCGTTGGCGCAGTGTATTAAACCCCTGTGCCGGCAGGACTGAAGGTCACAGATTCGAATCCTGGGAGAGGCAGATGAGCTCCCTCTATCAGCTCCAGCTCCTCATACGGGGACATGAGAGAAGCCACCCACAAGGATGATAAAAACATCAAATCATTCGGGCGTCCCCTTGCAGACAACCAATTCTCTCACACCAGAAGTGACTTGCAGTTTCTCGAAGTCGCTCCTGACACGACAAAAAAAAATATCTACTCACACTTGCATGTTTTCAAACTACTAGGTTGGCAGGAGCTGGGGCTACTAGTGGGAGTTCACCCCGCTCCCTGGATTCAACCCACTGACCTTTTGGTCAGCAAGTTCAGCAGTTTAACCTGCTGTGCTACCGGGATGCAACATATTTCTACTCGAATTTCTGCTTTCGGCCTGCTAGAGTGGCAGAAGCTGAGGCTAACAGCGGGAGCTCACCCCACTCCCCGGATCGGGAAGGGAATTATTTTCATTACTTTTTGTGTTATTTTAATTAAAAGAGAGGAAGTACACCCATTTTAGACTCCCAAGTCCCAACAGTGCGGAGGCGGAAATGTTCTCCTATGGAGGACCTCTTCCCCCTTTTCGTTGCCTGACTCCTGTGTTGGCTTTCTCTGCCAAACACGTTAGCTATTTCCTTATCTGGGGGTCAAAAGGTATAGACAGTGTCATCAGCATCAGCATCATTACTATTAATTAAGTAATCACATAACACTGTGAAGAGCTGTGTACCAGGATTAAGAACTTCACTTTCTTAATATATGGGAATATGTAAGTTCTGCTTTAGAGTTTAAGAGAAAGAAGGGTTAAGCAGCCGATTAGAGAAGGATGAAGTGGGTTACTAAGCAGCGTTTCTCAACCTGGGGGGGTTGTGAGGGGGTGTCAGAGGGGTCACCAAAGACCATCAGAAAATAAGTTTGCCTCAATTCTATTGTTGGTGGTGTTGAGAATGCTCTTCCCAATTATAGGTGAACTATAAATCTCAGCAACCACAACTCCCAAATATCACTGTCTATTTTCCCCAAATTCCACCAGTGCTCACATTTGGGCATATTGAGTATTCCTGTCAAGTTTGGTCCAGATCCATCATTGTTGAGTCCACAGTGCTCTCTGGATGTAGGTGAACTACAACTCCAAAACTCAAGGTCAGTGCCCACCAAACCCTTCCAGTATTTTTTATTGCCCATGGGAGTTCTGTGTGTCAAGTTTGCTTCAATTCCATCCATGGTGGAGTTTAGAACTCTTTGATTGTAGGTGAACTATAAATCCCAACAACTACAACTCCCAAATGACATTATCAATCCTATCCCCCAACCCCAACAGGATTCAAATTTGGGCATATCGGGTATTGGTGCCAAACTTGGTCCAGTAAATGAAAATACATCCTGGATATCAGGTTCGTAACAGAAGCAAAATGACACGAAAATAATGTTATGGTTGGGGGTCATCACAACATAAGGAACTGTATTAAGGGGTCGTGGCCAGGGGCAGCTCAACCCATTACACAAAGTAAGCATTTGCCATATAGTTGATTTTGCCCAGGGGCGCTCTTGAGGCGCTCTTGGGGGAAAATAGACCTTGACATATGCGAGTTGTAGTTACTGGGATATATAGTTCACCTACAATCAAAGAGCATTCTGAACTCCACCAATGACCAATGATGGAATTGAACCAAATATGGCACACAGAACTCCCACGACGAACAGAAAATATATATCAGTGATTGGTTGTGGGGGGGGGGGGGGGCAAAATACTGTTTGCTTGCCATCGAAAATTAGGGTAATTACCTCTGGTCGTGGCATTCGGAAGGTTGAGAAAGACTGCCCTAAGGAGAGAAGACTAGATATATAGGAACAGTTCTTATTTCTTGGAGGCTTTGAAACAGAGGCTGGATGGCCATCAGTCGGGGGTGCTTTGAATGTGATTTTCATGCTTTTTGGCAGAAAGGTTGAATTGAATGGCTCACGAGAATCCAACTCTGGGATTCTATTATTTTTGCCTAGGGAAATGGAGGGAATGGGGATGTCCAAAGGGAGGGAGAGAGTATATTTTTAAGAGAAACCATGTTTTTTAAAATATATGTGTATATATATATATAGATATTGAAGGCATATATGGGGTTATAGGTGGTGAAATTGCTTCTCACGTTGGCTTTGAAATCCTTTCTGTCTTCTCTGTCCAATGTGATAAAATGCAGAGGAGGAAACTTGAGGATTTAAAGAGGGAGTGGTGTCAAGTGTTGGGTTAGAGATGCTGGAGAGGAGACCCAGGTTCGAGGAGTGTGAGGAAGTCACACTCTCTCAGCCTCAGAGGAAGCCTCTCTGAACACATTTTGCTAAGAAAACCCTGTTATATAGAACTTGAAGGCACACAACAACCATTTAAATCAATCTTTTTTCTCCAAATGGCATCTGAACAAAAACACACACAAACAAGAACAACTTTGAAACTTCACAAATTTTTTTGCTCAGGATTCCGATTGGGAACACTCATTTTTTTGCTTGCAGTCATTTTAACTCTCGACCCTTTCCAACATTGGGATTGTAGAGACCTACAACATTTGTGGCTATGGAACCGAAACGAAAAATCTTGTTGATTTTTATACCACGTTTTGATATAAGTTCTGTCCAAAGAGTCCAAAGATTGATGCATTCTTGACTTTTTTTTTTGTCCATTAGTTTTTGCAACTGAGCATTTGTCTTACCCATTGAAGGTGGAATGGAAAAGGGAAAAGGGCTTCCATGGCCGGAATCACTGGGTTGTTGTGCGTTTTCCTTGCTGTATGGCTATGTTCCAGTAGCCTTCTCTCCTGACGTTTCGCCTGCATCTACACCCTCTGAGGATGCCTGCCATAGATGCAGGCGAAATGTCAGGAGAGAATGCTTCTGGGACATGGCCATACAGCCCAGAAAACGCACAACAACCCAGAAAATGGTATGTTTTGTCACTTTTAGTGGGGTGTGCCCCTGGAATTGTAGATTCAACACCCCAGAGAAGGGGAAATTCAACAAATTGATTTCATGCATTGCCTGCCAGTATCCGCTCCCAGTCATTTTACGTTTCTAGTGTACCCACTGTATTGACACGTTTGGAAATGTTCCAAGTAAATCTGCACCGTTTATTCAGTGGGAAGAAAAAAATCACTCTCCAAACTGGATAGACCTGATTTAATTAACCCAGTGGTGCAATGGGTTAAACTAGGTATGGGCAAACCCAGGCCCCGGGGCCAGATCCTATGCTTCCTTCCATCTCTTTCATTCCACCTTCCCTCCCTCCCTCCTTTCACCCTTCCTTCCTTCCCTCTCTTTTGTTTTTCTTTCCTCCTTACCTCCCTTCCCTTTCTCCTTCCATCCTTTTCTTTCTTCCTTCCTTCCTTCCTTGCCTTTCCTCCCCTTTTGTCTTTCCTTCCTTCCTTCTCTTTTCTCCCTCCCTCAATTCCCTTCCACTCTTTCGTCCTTCCTTCCTTGCCTTTCCTCCCTCTCTTCCCTTCCCTTTTGTCCTTCCTTCCTTCTCTTTTCTCCCTCCCTCAATTCTCTTCCCCCCTTGCGTCCTTCCCTCTTTTTTCTTTCCTCTTTACCTCCCTTCCTTCCCTTTCTCCTTCCCTTCCGTCCTTCCTCTTTCCTCCCTTTATCCCTTTCTCCTTCCTTATCTTTCCTTTATCCTTCCCTTCCACCCTTTCATCCATCCTTTCCTTTCCTTCCCTCCCTCCTCCTTTCTCCTTCCCTTCTTATCCTTCCTTCCATCCCTTTCTTTCTCCTTTCCCTTTTGTCTTTCCTTCCTTCCCTCTCTCCCTTTTTCTCCTTCCATCCTTCTACCTTTTCGTCCTTCCTTCCTTGCCCTCCCTCCCTCTATCCTTTCCTTCCCTTTTGTCTTTCCTTCTCTTTTCTCCCTCCATCAATTCTCTTCCACCCTTTCGTCCTTCCCTCTTTTGTTCTTTCCTCCTTACCTCCCTCCCCTTTCTCCTTCCATCCTTCCCTTCCACCTTTTCGTCCTTCCTTGTTGCCTCTTTCCTCCCTCCTCTATCCCTTTCTCCTTCCTTATCTTTCCTTTAGCCTTCCCTTCCACACTTTCATCTATCCATCCTTTCCTTTCCTCCTTCTTTCCTTCCTATCCTTCCCTCCCTTTCTTTCTCCTCTGTCTTTCCTTCCTTCCCTCTCTCCTTCCCTCTTCCCCTTCCTCCCGTTTGTCCTTCTCTCTTTCCTTCCTTCCATCACCAGGCAGCCAGTGCTAGCATTTGACCCACACGTTAGGAAGTTTGTCCATGCCTGGGTTAAACCCTTGTGCCAACAGGACTGCTGACTGAAAGGTCTGCAGTTTGAATCCCAGGAGCGGGGTGAGCTCCTTCTGTCAGCTCCAGCTTCCCATGCGGGGACATGAGAGATGCCGCCCACAGGACGGTAACACATCTGGCCATCCTTGCAGATGGCCAATTCTCTCACACCAGAAGCGACTTGCAGTATCTCAAGTCGCTCCTGACACGAAAAAAATGGGCATTTGTCAGGGAAGTGTTACTTAACAGGCCTCAAGTCCCACTCAAAAAACATATCCCCTCCATTACAAGTCCCTTTTCAAAACAGGATGTAGCAGAAATGTGTGACCCAAGGAGCCTTTGCCAGCCGCTCCCCTTCCTTCACACTTTGTACCTGGCAGCTGTTTTATTTGGGGAGCAAAAGGCCTCCCCTTTCCTTGGGCAATGGAGTATCTGTGTGTGTGCGTGTATGTATATATATATCTCCGTGTGTGTCTGAACTGCCGCATCCCCTCCACTCTTTATGCCGAAGAGGCCCTTGTGGTCTCTTCCAAACCTATGATTCTACGAAGAAAGGCAGGAAGGAGCGAGTGGCTGGAGGGTCTCCTCTTTTTAAACTGTTCCTCTAAGCAGCACAAACAGCCAAGAACAGCCACCCAGGGCTCCTTCTCCATGCAAACAAACCATTGTGTATTTTTTATTTTGAAATAAAAATCACCTCTGAAGCACTGCGCTTGCCTTTCTTTGGGAACCCGAGATTGTGTTGTCCTAATAATGTCTCCTACCTTTGTATGCATAAGAAATAGGCCTTAATCGTTCCCAATGTGGAATACTTTCTATACTATGGAATACTATGGAAAGGAGGCTCTCAAAACAGCTGCGACCGTACCTCGTGAAGTCGGATCTGGCCAGGGTGGTCCACGCCTTAGTCACCTCCAGATTGGATTACTGTAATGCACTCTATGTGGGGCTGCCCTTGAAGACGGCTCGGAAATTTCAATTGGTCCAATGGACGGCAGCCAGGTTATTAACTGGAGCGACTTACAGGGAGCGGTCTACCCCCCTGTTGTTCATTTTCCGGTCCCAATTCAAGGTGCAGGTTCTTACCTACAAAGCCCTGAATGGTTTGGGACCCGCCTGCCTGCATGAACGCATTTCTATATACGAACCCACGCAATCTCTTCGATCATCTGGAGAGGCTCCTGCCCCCTTCGCAGGCGTGATTGGTGGGGATGAGGCTAACAGCAGGAGGTGGCCCCCCGAATCTCTAAGGTGGCCCCCCGAATCTGGAACTCACCAGGTCCCCCTGGTGGCACAGTGGGTTAAACCGCTAGGCTGCTGAACTTGCTGATTAAAGAGTTGCAGGTTTGAATCCAGGGAGCAGCGTGAGCTCCTGCTGTTAGCCTCAGCTTCTGCCAACTTAACAGTTCGAAAGCATGCAAATGTGAATATTTATTTATTTACTTACTGTATTGTATACCGCTCCTCTCAGCCCTCAGGTGACTTGAAGGCAAAATTCAATGCCACAAAGTACAAGAACAATTTAAAAACATTAACATAAGTAAAATCATGACAGCAGCAATAAAACATAAGCCTTGTTCAATAGATCAATAGGTACCGATCCAGCAGGAATGCCCGACACGCGGGGTTGGTGCTTATCCCCATTTCTAAGCCAAAGAGCTGATGTTGTCCGTAGACACCTCCAAGGTCATGTGGCCGGCATGACTGCATGCCAGCCACTCCATTACCTTCCTGATGGAGTATTTATTTATCGTGTCAGGGGCAGACCAAACAGTTGCATTGCATTTTTTAACAAAACAAACAAAACACAAAGTTTGCAAGCTTGGTAGTTAATTAAATTTCCTTTGACCAGTAACTGGCCACTTGGAGTGCCTCTGGTGTTGCTGCAAGAAGGACCTCCATTGTGCATGCAGCAGGGCTCAGGTTGCATTGCAGCAGATGGTCTGTAGTTTGCTCTTCTCCGCACTTGCATGTCGTGGATTCCACTTTGTGGCCCCCTTTCTTAAGGTTGGCCCTGCATCTCGTGGTGCCAGAGTGGGAAAGGCACTGTTCAGTGCCTTTCCCGATGGAGTGGTACCTATTGATCTACTCACATCTGCATGTTTGCGAACTGCTAGGTTGGCAGAAGCTGGGACTAACAGCAGGAGCTCACACCGCTCCCCAAATTTGAACCTGCAACCTTTCAATCAGCAAGTTTAGCAGCTCAACTGTTTAATGGGGGCTCCTGAAACAACAAAATGGAACAACAAAAAATATTGTATACCCCAAAGCATTGTGAAATCACATATATTAGAAGCCAGCTCTTTCTCTCCTTTCTTTTCCTTTTCACCACTGGGCCACAGCAATGGCCCCCTCTGCGCTTGCATTTCCTTGGGAACCCGTAAATGTGTTGTCCTAATAATTTATCCTACCATTGTATGCATAAGAAGAAATGGGCCTTAATACAGGGTGAGATAGCATAACTTCCTTTTTTCAAAACTTAATAAAACCCATAGTATGAATCAGAAAAAAAAAATAATATAGGCGCATACCTAAAGTTTTGTTTTACGTAGTTTTGAAGATCAAATTACCGGTAGGTAGGTCACGTCCCCCATTCTCCACTGACTGAGTAAACCGATTTCTGGCATTTGTCATGACTCTTGCCAGCATAGCAAGCGTTATGATGGCAATTTCTTCCTGGATGTTGGTCTTCAAATCTTGGAGGGTCCTTGGACAGTTCACATAAACACAGGATTTCAAAAAACCCCATAGAAAAAAGTCACAAGGGGCCAAATCTGGAGAGCGGGCCGGCCACTCCAAATCCGCTCGAAAAGTAGACCTCAACGGCAAAGGCACAATCCTCACTGTTCCAACGCATGATGGCAACTGAACTGTGTCCGGACAAAACTTTATACTCTCGAATGAGACCACTAGCAGTCCGCTACGTCTTCAACCGACTGAATGGCTTGCATTTTAAAAAAGGAAACTTCCTGGTTAAAATGCTGCCTCGCCCTGTCGTTCCCAAGATGGAATACTTCCTCTTCCTATGCAAAGGAAGCTCTCAAAATAATAATAAATAATAATAAAACTTTATTTGTACCCCGCTACCATCTCCTCAAGGGACTCGGTGCAGCTTACATGAGGCCAAGCCCACAGTACATAAATAAACAAAACAGTTTAACAAAACAGTTAAAATAAACTCAAAAACAGAAAAATACACAATAACAATAACACAGCATTTAAAACCTATGGCCGGGCCAAATGTAATAATTAAAAATTTAAATTTTAAAGTGCTGGGCATGAACAAGGTAGGATAAATAAACCCTAGAATAAATAGGGTTTTCAGAGAAAGATGAGGGCGCGCAAACAACCCTAAATCAATATTAAAGTGCATTTGAGGACATATTGCTAAGAGTTTTCCTTATTCTGGGAAAGCACACTGGAACAACCACGTTTTCAGGCTCCTGCTAAAGACTGCCAACATTGGGGCATGTCTGATGTCCTTAGGGAGTGAATTCCAGAGTCGAGGGGCCACTACCGAGAAGGCCCTCTCCCTCGTCCCCACCAATTTTAAGAAGAAACCAGCTGGTTTCTTAAAACCAGAGTTCCAACAACCGGGGGGGGGGGGGGGGGGGGGACGGGACGACTAAGTCCCCCTCTGGTGCTTCCTTTTACCCTAAAATAGGGGAATAAGCACCGCACAACATTTTGAAACACACACACTTTATTTAAAAGAAGGAAACAAACCTTACACCACCTGGAATGGAATAGAAGCATTCCCTGAAGCCACTGGAAGGTCAAAGGAGCGTGGGCTATGGCAAGTATTGGGAGGTTAAGAGTAGACAATATACCCAATAAGATAGGAAGATATTCCCAGGAAGACAATGGCGGAAGAGGCGGCAGCCACATTCAATGGTCCATGGGCACAAAGGGGAGGCAGTCTTTGGAGACACAGAGCAGAGATGCAAGGCCGGGGTGGGGCCAAAGAAAGGGGGGATGCTTTCCCCGGTTCTGACCCCTCTCCAAGGGAGCCAAATGCGAGGCATCGAGCTCCATTTCCCCTTTTTAAAACCAGCTTCTTACCATCCTGGCGTCATCTGCCACTAGCGTGTAAACCAAGATGAAGGGAAGGTGGGTGAGAGAAGAGCGGAGAAATGGCCACAAGTTGCTAAAGCGTCAGAATGGAACATGTCCTACATCAATGGAGCTGGAGGGAGATCTTGATGGAAAGCCGACCATCCTTCCATTCTGTACAGGGGGACGGGGAGGAACAGGGCGGGTCTTTTGGTCTCATTTGGCAGTCATCATCTGTACAAACTCTGTCAGAGAAAAGCAAGAAGGAAAGCAGGAAGATTAAAGGTCTTTCCCATCCCAAAACAACAATTTACCATACATGCTCAAGTATAAGCTGACCCAAATATAAGCTGAGGCACCTAATTTTACCACTAAAAAACTGGGAAAACGTATTAACTCGAGTATAAGCCGAAGGTGGAAAATGCTACTGGTCAATTTCAAAATAAAAATAGATACCCATAACATTACATTAATTGAGGCATCAGAAGGTTAAATGCTTTTGAATATTTGCCATATTTCAAAGGAAAACAGTAAACTAGCTCTGTAAGTGGAAAAGGAGGTGTAGTGAAATTGCTACTCTATGTTAAAGTTTTGGTGTATACATATGTTTACATATGGCAGATAGGGAAGAATAGGTATAGACAGGGTAGCAAAAGCAGAGATAGGATTCATTTGCATATGTGAAGCCGATTGGTCATATGCAGATTAGTGTAGGCCCAGGATTTGAAAAGGCTGCTAGGCCCAAAATGACAGTTGGAGAGAGAGAGCTGATCTTATACCCCCAGTTGCCTTGTATGCCAGAAAATATGGTAATGTAATAATAATAATAATAGAGAAAAATATCATAATAATAATAAAGTAAAATAGTAAATTTAATAACAATGAGAGAAAATAATAAAAATAATAAAAATAATTACAGAGTAAAATAATGTAATAAAAATAGCAATAACAAAGTAAAATTATTATTATTATTATTATTATTATTATTATTATTATTATTATTATTATACCTTGCCATCATCTCCCCAAAGGGATTGGAGGCGGCTTATGTCCACAAATCACAAAAGTAAAAAATCCATTAAATCAAAAACACAATTAAGATAATAATAATATAATAAAATATAACAAGCCAAGCCTCAGGATGCTGTTGCCTCAGACCCACAAAGTGGCATCATCCCCTCACCTTCGTAATTGACTTGTCCGTCCCCATCGATGTCGGCTTCTCTGATCATCTCATCAACCTCCTCGTCCGTTAGCTTCTCGCCCAGGTTAGTCATGACGTGGCGTAGCTCTGCAGCACTAATGTACCCATTGCCATCCTGGGTGGGGAAAGGGGAAAGAAAGACTGTTAGAACTCAGAAGGACAAGGAGAAGAGAGGGATGAAAGATCGGCCCCGAGGAATACCGTCATAGAATCCTAGAGCTGGAAGAGACCACAAAGATTGTATTTATTATGTTTTTAACCAGACACACAGTACTAATTATTTTTTTAAAAACTTTGTATTTGCTTTGTTCTAAATTGGTCAAAGTGTGTGGTTGATCCCCTCGGAGAAAAAGGCGGGATATAAATAAAATAAATAATAATAATATTCCTGACAGATGGCCATCCAACCTCTACTTAAAAATTTCCAGAGGAGACACCAAGAAAGTTTATATTTCACTAGAGTGGGAATTTTATCGTGTTATAAGTGGCATGAGGGTACAGTTATAATGTATTTTTAAAAATACATTAACATAAATGCCCTAACACATTTGTGAACATTTTGCGGCTCCTCCATGATGGCAACAGTCTTGGACACCAATGGCTCCGAAAGCAACCCATTTAAGGTGGAATCAGGTGGCAAACAGGGATGTGTTATGGCCCCAACCTTATTTTCCATCTTCATCGCTATGATACTTCATCTTGCTGACGGGAAGCTTCCCACCGGAGTGGAAATAATCTATCGGACAGATGGCAAGCTATTTAATCTCAGCAGACTGAAAGCCAAAACCAAGGTTACAACATTGTTTAGACCTACAAGCCACTCTAAACAACTTCGCAGAAGCATACGAGAAGCTCAGCCTGTCATTGAACATCGAGATAACCAAAGTGCTCTTCCAGCAGTCACCAGTCAATCCCTCTCCAATGCCAGAGATACAGCTTAATGGGGTAATATTAGAAAATGTTGACCATTGCCGCTACCGAAATACAACACCGCCTGAGCTCTGCGAGTGCAACATTTTTTCGCATGAAGCAGAGAGTGTTTGAGGACCAGGACATCCATAGGGATACCAACCCTGCTATATGCCTGCGAAACGTGGAGTGTCTACAGATGTCACATGCAACTCCTGGAACGCTGTCTCCAGAAAAGCCTGAAAATCTCTTGGAAAGACAAGTGGACAAACATCAGCATGCTGGAAGAAGCAAAGACCACCAGCATTGAAGCGATGGTCCTCCGCCATCAACTCCGCTGCACCAGCCAAGTTGTCCGGATGCCTGACCACCGTCTCCCAAAGCAGTTGCTCTACTCCGAACTTAAGAACGGAAAACAGAATGTTGGTGGACAGGAAAAGAAATGTAAAGCTGGGCTCAAAGCCAACCTTAAAAACTCTGGCATAGATACTGAGAACTGGGAAGCCCCGGCCCTTGAGCGCTACAGCTGGAGGTCAGCTGTGACCAGCAGTGCTGTAGAATTAGAAGAGGCATGAATTGAGGGCGAAAAAGAGAAACGTGCCCAGAGGAAGGCGCATCAAGCCAACTAATATATACATTGAAGGAGACATTCAGAACAAACATAATCATTTATACATTTAGAGTTTTCTTTTAAAAAAATAATGGAACAATAACAATGGAAATAAATTAAAGTGATTTACAAGTCTCTGTACAAATGATTAAATTAAAAAAATAAGGCAGGTGTTTTTACTTAAAATTAGCATAAAATTAGCATAAAATTAGCCTTCTGCCAATGCCCTCACTGCGGGAGAAGATGCAGGTCAAGAATAGGGCTCTACAGTCATCTACGGACCCACTGCACACAGACCCTGGAGGATCATCATACTTGGACAATGAGGGATTGCCTAAGTAAGTAAGTATTTTAAAAAGAACACAAACTAAGTTTTAAAACTTGGCATTATACTAGATTTCCTATGTCCAGAAGTGTGTCAGGGCTCACACTGCATTGCAGCAGGTGGTCTGTAGTTTGCTCTTCTCCGCACTCGCATGTTATGGACTCCACTTTGTAGTCCCATTTCTTAAGATTGGCTTTGCATCTCGTGGTGCCAGAGAGCAGCCTGTTCAGCACCTTCCAGGTTACCCAAACTTCTCTGTGCCCAGATATCACCTGGTATCAGTCACTGATTTAGCCTGCCACTTTTGGACTTTTGCTTGCTGGTCATTTGTGTCAATGTTATACACTGATGGAGCAAGCACACCGTTAAGCAGGCCGTTCTTCTGTTTTCACTATCTGCTTCTCTGGCTCTGGAACTCAACAAAAAAGCTCCTGTTTTGTAGCAGATTTCCTAGGAAGCAGGTGAGGTGGTAATCCTTTGTGATATTATACATTTTTCTCAAGAGAAAGCAATGATTCACAGTATAAGATGCTGGCAGATCTATGAAGACAGCGCGCCTGTAATCTGCTGCATTTCCGAGTAGGAGGAAACCCCCAAGAGCCATCCAATCCAATCCCCTTCTGCCAAGTAGGAAAAGCACTATCAAAGCACCCCGGAGAGATGGTCATCTAGCTTCTGTTTAAAAGCCTCCAAAGGGGCCTCCACTTGGACTCTGAGGCAATGAGTTCCACTCTAGACCTCCACGCTTCAGCCTTTGCTTTGAAGTAAGTGCCTGGTCCATGTAATACATTCTGAATCAAATGGGCACATACGAGTAAATAACATTTCAGAGGAAACTATATCACGGTGCAGAGTTTTATTTCTACTAAAAGATGAGCCTCTTTGGCAAAGACGTTGAAGGGACACTGGCATCTTCATGATCCAAAACATGAAGCCTATGTCTGCAATACCTCAGCCCCCTCACCTGAATCTCACTCCTGTAGCAACATTTATAGCACTACCTAACAGGCCTTTCATGTTCCATTTCAGCTCAAAGATTCCCAAAATCAAGCTATTCAGAATGTCTTGCTGAATCACACCCTTCCAATGAAAAGGCAAAAGAAATGATAGGCACAGGAGAATATCATGCTTCTTCCTCCCCGAGCTTGTTATGGTGGCGGCCACCTTGCTTTTCTTAAAATCAAGAGGTATTTACCTTGTCAAACACACGAAAGGCCTCGCGGATTTCCTCCTCGCTGTCGGTATCCTTCATCTTCCGGGCCATCATGGTGAGGAATTCGGGGAAGTCGATGGTGCCATTTCCTAGGGGAAAGAGAAACTTGTTTAGGAACACAACAAACGAGCGTTAAGCTGCCCTCCCGATTTCAGTCTAGACCACTTTCTTCTCTGTCCTTAAAGTGAGTTTTGCATCCAGCTCACCATCAGCGTCCACCTCGTTGATCATGTCTTGCAGTTCAGCTTCGGTGGGGTTCTGGCCCAGAGAGCGCATCACGGTGCCCAGCTCCTTGGTGGTGATGGTGCCGTCGCCATCCTTGTCGAAGAGGGAGAAGGCCTCCTTGAACTCTGAAAGGAAAGGCAGCCAAAGCTGAATAACAAAGGTGCCTCCCTTCAGGCTTATTCCACAAAACCTGAGGCAGGCACGGGCAAACTCTGGCCCTCCAGGTGTTTCGGCTGTTAGGAATTGTGGGAGTTGAAGTCCAAAACACCTGGAGAGGCAAAATTTGCCAAGGCCTGTCCCAAGGCACATAGCTTAGAAAATTAAAGAAGGGTGACTGCATAGCTTTGTAAGAAGCTCCAAGGCCTCTGTTCAACAGATCTTGTCCTGTGGGGTCCTGCTGGGTTCATGTTGTTTAACATCTACATGAAACCCAATCCAATAGGCCTTTATTGGCATATATAGCAAAACAGTAGAAAATATAGTATGAACTAGCTTTACCCGCCACACGTTGCTGTGGCCAACCTTCTCTCCCTCTTTCTCTCCTTCTTTCACTCCTTCCTTCATTTTCTTTTCTTCTTTCCTTTCTTCCTTCTCTACCTGTTTACTTCCTTCCTTAGCTTTGCTTTTTGCTCCCATCCTTCCTTCTCTTTATTTCTTTCCTTCCCTCCCTCTTTCTCTCCTTCTTTCTCTTCTTCCTTTGCTCCGTCTTTCCTCCCTTCCCTTTTTCTTTCCTTCTCTCCTCCTTCCTTCTCTTCCTCTTTCCTTCCTCCTCCCTTTTTATTTTCCTTCCTCTTTCTCTCCTTTCTTCCCTCTCTCTTTCCTTCCTTCCTTCGCTCTTGACTTCCAGACTTCCTCTCTTCTCCTTCCCAAATTCCCCTTCCTTTCTTCCTTCCTTCCTTCCTTCCTTCCTTTTGACACCTTCCCTTCCCCTTCCCTTTCTTCTTTTTTTCTATCTTTCTTTTCTTTCCTCGTTATTCCTTTCTCCCTTCTTTCCCATCCTCCTTCTCTGTATTCTTTCTTTCCTACCTTTCTTCTTTCATATACCTTCTCAACTTCCCTTCCTTCCTCCCTTCCTTCCTTTCTCCGTTCGCGCAGCATCCTGGCCCCCAGCGAGCAGGCCGTGTTCTAGAACTACAGTTCCCAGAGTGCATTGCATGTGTACTTCCTCCCCTGGGCACTGCGCATGCTCAGTTGGTTTTTGTGAGTTTGTTGAAATGTTGTTTGGAATTTTGATGAGTGTTGTGCATACCTTGTGGGTTGAGGTATGTGCATGGCAAATTTGGTGAGTTTTCGTCGGAGGGTTTTTGCGTTTTGCTGTCCCGTTGAACACCCTTTCCGTTTTTATATATATAGATTATAGAAAAGGGAACTTCTTATTCTTATTTTCCATCTACGACAAGCGAGGCAACTGGCACCCTACCTATCTGACGAGGCTCTGGCAAGTGTCATCCATGCCACGGTCACGTCTAGGCTGGACTATTGCAACGCCCTGTATGTGGGCCTTCCGATGTCTACGACCTGAAAGCTTCGTATTGTTCAGAATGTGGCAGCCAGGCTACTCACAAGAACGCCCATGAAATGCCATAGAACACCAGTGCTGCAACATTGACATTGGCTTCCAGCTGAGTACCGTGGCCTGTCTAAGATGCTAGTTCTGACCTTTAAAATTCTTTACGGCCAGGGTCCATCGTACCTTAGGGACCGCCTCTCCTTCTCCCATCATCGGAGGCCGCAACGACCAGCCCAACGCAACTTACTCTATATACCGGGTCCTAGAGAAGTGCACTTGGAAAGGACCAGGCGCAGGGCTTTTTCTGTTTCTGCCCCTGCCTTGTGGAATTCCTTGCCGCCCTACATGTGAGTCATGTATGACTTAGGGCCTTTTACTCTCGCACTTAAGACCTGGCTTTTTACTAGAGCATTCGATCTCTGTTGATTTTTAATTTTTGTATGTATGTATTTTATCTTTTGTAATTTAGCTGTAAATCGCCTGGAGCATTCTCGGATGGAGGGCGATTAATAAGTTATTAAATGATGATGATGATGATTTGCGATACGTTCTGTTATATACTCAGTCTCTGAGTAGTAGTAACAACAGGGAGTTGGAGACTAGGCAGGCAAAAAGGTCTACTCAGGAACAAGAATCTGTTGAAGAGCAACAGCAGAAGAGAATTCAGCAAATACTTACTGAACCCACTGATGCTTACCTGCAATCTGTTCCTCCGTCAGCTGGTCAGCCTGCAGCAACACAGAGAAAAGAAAACGTTGGTATTAATCTTTTTATATCCTAAGACCTTCCCCACACCAATACTCTTTACACAAGATTCGTATTTATGCAAAGACAACAAGTTAACTGTTCTAGAATTGGAACTGACCACCTTAGCTAGCACAACTATCCTCTACTTTGAGTTCCTGCACCAACAGTCCATTTCAGATTATCGATGGTACTTTACTAAGCTAACATAATACTGAAAGCAACTGCCACCCAAAGTGTGTGTGTGTGTGTGTGTATATATATATAGCTAAATTACTAAACTTTATTTCTATCCCACCCCCCTCCCCAAATGTGAGGCAGCTTACAGCAAATCAACAAATACAGTAAATAATATAACACACACACAAACTTTATAATATATATAAACCTTATAATATAATATACACACATATGAATACACACACACATAAACCCTTGATATATACAAACCCTTATTTTATATTTATATATATATTTATACATATACACACACACACATACACACAACCTTATAATATGTAAGTCTTTATATATAAATCCATATATGCACACACATACACAAAAAGCCCTTATGATATATGATAACCCTTATGGCATAAATATATACACACCAGGCATGGGTAAACTTGGGCCCTCCAGGTTTTTTGTACTTCAACTCCCAGAATTCCCAACCGGCTGTTAGGAATTGTGGGAGTTGAAGTCCAAAACACCTGGAGGACCCAAGTTTGCCCAAACTTGATATATATATAGACCCTATATATATTAATCATTACATCATTACATATATATACACACACACACACAAGCCCTAATACAATATCTCCTTATAATATATACAAACCCTTATACATATATAAATATACACTATACAATGGAGCCCTCGGTGGTGCAGTGGGTTAAACCGCTGAGCTGCTGAACTTGTTGACCAAAAGGTCGCAGGTTCAAATCCAGGGAGCAGGGTGAGCTCATGCTGTTAGCCCCAGCTTCTGCTAACCCAGCAGTTCAAAAACATGCAAATGTGAGATCAATAGGGGCCTCCGGCGGAAAGGTAAGGGCACGGCATGCAGTCATGCTGGCCACATGACCTTGGAGGTGTCCACGGACAACATTGGCTCTTCAACTTAGAAATGGAGATGAGCACTCTGGACTTAATGTCAAGAGGAAACCTTTACCTTTTATAGATAAACATGTGTGCCCTTATGATATATAGGTAAAGGTATATATACACACATGCATATACACACTATATATTAGCCGTCCCCTGCCACGTGTTGCTGTGGCCCAGTCTGGTGATCTGGAAAATAAAGTAATGGTTTCTAACATATGTAATTCCTTTATGCTTGTGGGTAAACAGTATTCCTTGTTGTTTCTATATCAGTGCTGGTGTGGAGATTGTCTGGTTTGCCTACTCTGGAACATGCAACATAGGATTGTCTTTCTTCAGGGGTCCCTTTCAGATCTATGATACTATATCTCTCTGTGTGTGAATCATATATATCTATCTATATCTATGGCTGGATGGCTCTTTGTCAGGAGGGCTTCGATTATACTTGCCCTGATGAAGGGAGTTGGACTGGATGGCCTTAAGGCAGCATTTCTCAACCTGGGGTTTGGGACCCCTGGGGGGGGGGGGCAGGGGGGTGTAAGAAGGGCTGCCAAAGATCACCAGAAAACAGTATTTTCTGTTGGTCCTGAGGGCTCTGTGTGGGAAGTTTGGCCCAATTAATAATAATAATAATAATAATAATAATAATAATAATAATAATACACCTTTATTTATACCCTGCTAACATCTCCCGAAGGACTGGGTGCGGCTTACAAGAGGCTGAGGCCCAACACATCAATAAAACAACAGCATAACAAATACAACAATAAATAAACTCATAAAACAAGCAATAAGCATTAAAACAATAGCAATAAACATTAGACAATAACCCCATGACACATTTAAAACTAAGGCCGGGCCAAATGTAATGATTAAAATTTTCAAATGCTGAACATGACAGGTGAGATGGATAGGTTTTTGGAGATAGGTGCGGTGTGCAGACAATCTTAATGTCTAGTAAAGTGCATTTGGGACATGATGCTAGGAGTTTCCTATTCTGGGAAGGCACACTGGAACAGCCACATCTTCAAGCTCTTCCTAAAGACTGCCAATGTTGGGGCTTGTCTGATATCCTTGGGGAGAGAGTTCCAGAGTCAGGGGGCCACCACGGAGAAGGCCCTGTCCCTCGTCCCCACCAATTCTGTTGGGGAGGTTCAGAATGATCTTTGATTGTAGGTGAACTATAAATCCCAACAACTACAACTCCCAAATGTCAAGGTCTATTTCCCCCCAAACTCCATCTGTGTTCATATTTGGGCATATGGAGTATTCATGCCAAGTTTGGTCCGGATCCATCATTGTTTGAGTCAACAGTGCTCTCTGGATGTAGGTGAACTACAACTCCCAAACTCAAGGTCAAACCCTTCTAGTGTTTTCTGTTGGTCATGGGAGTTCTGTGTCCCAAGATTGGTTCAATTCAATCATTCATGGAGTACAGAATGCTCTTTGATTGTAGGTGTACTATAATTCCCAGCAACTACAACTACAATGACGAAATCAATGTTTTTTGAGTGATGGTCACTCCTTGGGTTAGTAAGTGTCTTGTGGCTAAATTTGACTGCAATTCATCCAGTGGTTTTTAAGTTATGTTAATCCCACAAACGAACATTACATTTTTACTTATATAGATATATATACACACACATGCACACACACACATTACATCTATATTTATTTATTTATTTATTTACCTTACTTATATACCGCTGTTCTCAGCCCGAAGGTGACTCACAGCGGTTCACAACAAATACGAACAGCAAAAATTCAGTGCTACAGTATAGAAACAGTTAACAACCTAACACATTACACAATTAATAAACAGTCACTACAATACCCATTCACTGTCGTCTCGTCATCAAAAACATGTTCCAGATTCGTCATCCATTATTCCGTTCCAGAGTTCATTAACCAATCATTGCACTAATTATTGGAAGGCCTGCTCAAACAGCCAGGTCTTCACCTTTTTGCGGAATACCATTAGAGATGGTGCTAGTCTAATGTCCGTAGGAAGGGCGTTCCACAGCCGAGGAGCCACCACCGAGAAGGCCCTATCTCTCGTCCCCGCCAGCCGAGCTTGAGAAGCAGGCGGGATCGAGAGCAGGGTCTCCCCGGAACATCTCAAAGTCCTGGTGGGTTCATAGGCCGAGGTGCGGTCAGATAGGTAGCTTGGGCCGGAACCGTTTAGGGCTTTAAAGGTCAACGCCAGCACTGTGAATTCAGCCCGGTAGCAGATCGGTAGCCAGTGGAGTTGGCGCAACAGGGGGGTTGTATGCTCCCTGCGCTCCGCTCCTGTTAAAAACATGGCTGCCGAGAGTTGGACTAGTTGGAGCTTCCGAGCTGTCTTCAAAGGCAACCCCACGTAGAGAGCGTTGCAGTAGTCTAAACGGGATGTAACCAGAGCGTGGACTACCGTGGCCAAGTCAAACTTCCCAAGGTACGGGAATTGAACCAAACTTGGCACAGAGCTCTCCCATGACCAACAGAAAATACTGGAAGGGTTTGGTGGGCAGTGTCCTTTGGTTTTGGAGTTGCAGTTCACCTACATCCAGAGATCACTGTGGACTCAAACAATGATGGATCCAGACCAAACTTGGAACAAATTCTCAATATGCCCAAATGTGAACACTGGTGGAGTTTGGGGAAAATATAATCTTGACATTTGGGAGTTGTAGTTGCTGGGATTTGTAGTTCACTTACAATCACAGAGCATTCTGAACCCCACCAACGATAGAATTGGGCCAAACCTCCCACACAGAACCCCCATGACCACCAAAGTGGGCCACAGCAACGTGTGGCAGGGGACGGCTAGTATATACACACACACACACACACACACTTACATAAAAGCCCTAACGATATATACAAAACCCTAATGAGATAGAGAGATATAGACAGATATAGACACCTCGGTCTACCCCAGGCATGGGCCAACTTGGGCCCTCCCTCCAGGAATGATGGGCGTTGAAGTCCAAAACCCCTGGAAGGAAGGAAGGAAGGAAGGAAGGAAGGAAGGAAGGAAGGAAGGAAGGAAGGAAGGAAGGAGGGAAGGAGAGCCCCACTTGGAGGGCCCATGCCTGCTCGACCCTTTCCTGGCTCTTCTCCACACTCGCATGTCGAGGATTCTACTTTGTAGCCCCATTTCTCAAGGTTGGCTCTGCATCTCGTGGTGCCAGAGCGCAGTCTGTTCAGTGCCTTCCAAGTCGCCCAGTCTTCTGTGTGCCCAGGGGGGAGTCTGTCATTTGGTATCAGCCATGGGTTTGAGCCTGACACTTTTGGACTCTCGCTTGCTGAGGTGTTCCAGCAAGTGTCTCTGTAGATCTTAGAAAACTTTGTCCAGATTTAAGTCGTTGGCGTGCTGGCTGATACCCAAACAGGGGATTTGCTGGAGATGTCACTGCCTTGGTCCTTTCACTATTGGCTGCTACTTCCCGGCGGATGTCAGGTGTTGCAATACCGGCTAAGCAGTGTAATTTCTCCAGTGGTGTAGGGCGCAGACACCCCGTGATAATGCGGCATGTCTCATTAAGAGCCACATCTACTGTTTTAGTGTGGTGAGATGTGTTCCACACTGGGCATGCGTACTCAGCAGCAGAGTAGCACAGCGCAAGGACTGTGGGGTTGCCTTTCCAAGACGGCTTGGAAGCTCCAACTAGTCCAACGCGCGGCAGCCATGATACTAACAGGAGCGGTGCGCAGGGAGCATACAACTCCTTTGCTGCACCAGCTCCACTGGCTGCCGATTTGCTACCGGGCTCAATTCAAAGTGCTGGCGCTGGCCTATAAAGCCCTAAACGGTTCTGGCCCAAGCTACCTATCTGAACGTATCTCTGCCTACGAACCCACCAGGACTCTAAGATCTTCTGGGGAGGCCCTGCTCTCTATCCCGCCAGCTTCACAGGCGCGGCTGGCAGGGACGAGGGACAGGGCCTTCTCTGTGGTGGCCCCTCGGCTGTGGAATGCCCTTCCTACGGAGGTTAGATCAGCCCCTTTGCTAATGGTGTTTCGAAGAAAATTAAAAACTTGGCTGTTTGAACGGGCATTCGGATAAACAGCGCAATGAATATGATGAATACAGGAACGGAATTATGGACGACGGATTGGATTACGATTCTAGTTACAAGATGTTATGGGGCTGTTATTGATGTATTATTATTGTGTATACTATGCTTTTAATGATTTTAAATTGTATATTGTTTGATTGATTTTTTTACCCTTGCTGTAAACCGCGTCGAGTCGCCTGTTGGGCTGAGAAACTGCGGTATAAAAGTAAAGCAAATAAATAAATAAATAATGTCTTCACTGTGTCTGGTTGTGATCCCCAGGTTGTGCCAGTCAGCTTTCGTATGATATTGTTTCTAGCACCCACTTTTTGTTTGATGTTCAGGCAGTGCTTCTTATAGGTCGGAGCACGGTCCAAAAACCCTTGTGATATATACATACAAACCCTAATGAGATAGAGAGAGAGAGACAGGTCGGTCTACCCCAGGCATGGGCCAACTTGGGCCCTCCCTCCTCCAGGAATGGTGGGCGTTGAAGTCCAAAACCCCTGGAAGGAAGGAAGGAAGGAAGGAAGGAAGGAAGGAAGGAAGGAAGGAAGGAAGGAAGGAAGGAGGAGGGAGGGAGGGAGAGGAAGGAAGGAAGAAGGAAGGAGGAAGGAGAGGAAGGAAGAGGAGGAGGAAGGAAGGAAGGAGGGAGGGAGGAGGAGGGAGGGAGGGAGGGAGGGAGGGAGAGGAAGGAAGGAAGGAAGGAAGGAAGGAAGAAGGAAGGAAGGAAGGAGAAGGAGGGAAAGGAAGGAGGAGGAAGAGGGAGGGAGGGAGGGAAGGAAGGAAGAGAGGAAGGAGAGGAAAGGGAAGGAAGGAAGGAGGAGAAGGAGGAAAGGAAGGAAGGAAGGAAGGAAGGAAGGAAGGAAGGAAGGAAGGAGGGAGAGAGGGAGGGAGGGAGGGAAGGAAGGAAGGAAGGAAGGAAGGAAGGAAGGAAGGAAGGAAGGAAGGAGGAGGAAGGAGCGAGCGACAGTCTGAAGGAAGGAAGAGAAGGAAGGGAGGGAAGGAAGGAGAGAGGGAAGGAAGGAAGGAAGGAAGGAAGGAAGGAAGGAAGGAAGGAAGGAGGGAAGGAAGGAAGGAAGGAAGGAAGGAAGGAAGAAGGAAGGAAGGAGGAAGGAAGGAAGGAAGGAAGGGAGGGAGGGAGGAGAGAAGGAAGGAGGAAGGAAGGAAGGAAGGAAGGAAGGAGGGAGGGGGGAGGAGGGAGGAAGGAAGGAATGAGGGAAGCAAGGAAGGAGGGGAGGGAGTGGGAGATAGGATGGAGTCAAGAAAGGAAGAAAGGAGAGAAACAAACAAGCAAGAAGGGCTGGAGGGAGAGAGGGGAGGAGGGAAGGAAGGAAGGAAGGAAGGAAGGAAGGAAGGAAGGAAGGAAGGAAGGGGAGGGAAGGAAGGAAGGAAGGAAGGAAGGAAGGAAGGAAGGAAGGAAGGGAAGGAAGGAAGGAAGGAAGGAAGGCCCCATCCGGAGGGCCCATGCCTGCCCGACCCAAGGGGGCTCCGCCCTCCCCTCCCCTCCCCTGAGGCCCTTCTGGCGGGCCGCCCGCTCTCTCGCTCACCATGGCAACAGCGGCGGCGAAGTAGTGCCGCGAGGCCGGCCGGACTCTTCCTCCCTCGCCGCGTCTCCTTCCGCCCTCCTTGCACACGGCTCACTCCCTGCCCCTCTCCCTCTCTCCCTCTCTCTCTCGTATCCCTCCGCCCCCGCAAACGAGTCCCGTCCGGAGAGGCCACTCTCTACTGAAAGGCCTGCCCTGCCCGCTTGCGCCTTGCCCTTTAAATACTCCCACGGGCCCCGCCCCCTTCTGCGTCCCACGTGGGCAAAGACCCGCTTCGCCATTGGCCTAGCCTCCCCTGCATTGCGTCAGGGGAGGGCGCTTAAAGGGGAAGGCAGCGCGCGAGGAAGAGCCGTGCGTGTGCCGACCGAAACAAATGTTGCTTCTTGGCCTATTGAAGAAGGGCGGACTGTCGCTTAAAGGGGAAGTCAAAGTGGGGCTGCCTTAAAGGGGACGAACCACCACCTCCTCCTGAGAAAAATGTATAATATCACAAAGGACGACCACCTCACCCGCCTCATAGGAAACCTGCTACAAAACAGGAGCTTCTTTGTTGAGTTCCAGGGCCAGAGAAGCAGATGGCGGAAACAGAAGAACGGCCTGCCTCAGGGGAGCGTGCTTGCTCCATCCATGTTCAACATCTACACAAATGACCAGCCACTGCCAGAAGGGACAGAGAGCTTCATCTATGCTGATGATCGTGCCATCGCTCAAGCAGGGAGCTTTGAGATGGTAGAACAGAAGCTCTCCGAAGCTCTAGGTGCTCTTACTGCCTATTACAGGGAAAACCAGCTGATCCCCAACCCATCTAAAACACAGACATGTGCCTTTCACCTTAAGAACAGACAAGCATCCCGAGCTCTGAGGATTACCTGGGAAGGAACCCCACTGGAGCATTGCAGCGCACCCAAATACCTGGGAGTCACTCTGGACTGTGCCTCTGGACTGTGCTCTGACTTATAAGAAGCACTGCCTGAACATCAAGCAAAAAGTGGGTGCTAGAAACAATATCATACGAAAGCTGACTGGCACAACCTGGGGATCACAACCAGACACAGTGAAGACATCTGCTATGCTACCCTGTGCTGAGTACGCATGCCCAGTGTGGAACACATCTCACCACACTAAAACTGTAGATGTGGCTCTTAATGAGACATGCCGCATTATCACAGGGTGTCTGTGCCCTACACCACTGGAGAAATTACACTGCTTAGCCGGTATTGCACCACCTGACATCAATAGTAGCAACCAATAGTAAAAGGACCAAGGCAGTGACATCTCCAGCTCATCCCGTTTGGGTATCAGACAGCACGTCAACGACTTAAATCAAGAAATAGTTTTCTAAGATCTACAGAGACACTCGCTGGAACACCTCAGCAAGCGAGAGTCCAAAAGTGGCAGGCTCAAACCCAGCACCTCAATCCGTGGGTGATACCAGATGAGAGACTCCCCCCCTGGGCACTCAGAAGACTGGGCGACTTGGAAGGTGCTGAACAGACTGCGCTCTGGCACCACGAGATGCAGAACCAACCTTCAGAAATGGGGCTACAAAGTGGAATCCTCGACATGCGAGTGTGGAGAAGAGCAAACCACTGACCACCTGCTGCAATGCAACCTGAGCCCTGCCACATGCACAATGGAGGACCTTCTTGCAGCAACACCGAAGCACTCCAAGTGGCCAGATACTGGTCAAAGGACATTTAACCAACTACCAAATTTGCAAAATCTGTGTGTTTTTTTTTCCTTTTTCTTTTTAATCTGTGTGTTTGTTTTGCTTTGTTAGAATTGTAATACAATGGTTGCCGATGACACGATGACACGACACAATGTTTTATAGTCATACATTTAACTATTTGTTTAACTTTGTATTGTGGTGTGAATGTTGCAATTGGCCAGCTTGATTATATCTTTGGAAGCTTTTAAACAGAGGCTGGATGGCCATCTGTCAGGGGTGATTTGAATGCAACATTCCTGCTTCTTGGCAGAATGGGGTTGGACTGGATGGCCCATGAGGTCTCTTCCAACTCTTTGATTCTATGATTCTATCATTATCATTAAATGGCCTTGCAGCTTCAAAGCCTGGCTGCTTCCTGCCTGGGGGGGGGGTTCCTTTGTTAAGAGGTGTTAGCTTTTATTTATTTATCGTGTCAGGAGCAGACCAAATAGTTGCATTGCATTTTTTAACAAACAAACAAACAAAGCACAAAGTTTGCAAGCTTCGTAGTTAGTTGGCCCCAATGTGTTAGTTAGTTGGCTGGAATGTGTCCAGGGGAGGGCGACTAAAATGATCAAGGGTCTGGAGAACAAGCCCTATGAGGAGCGGCTTAAGGAGCTTGGCATGTTTAGCCTGAAGAAGAGAAGGCTGAGAGGAGATATAATAGCCATGTATAAATATGTGAGAGAAAGACACAGGGAGGAGGGAGCAAGATTGTTTTCTGCTTCCCTGGAGAATAGGACGCAATGGAACAATGGCTTCAAACTACAAGAGAGGAGATTCCATCTGAACACGAGGAAGAACTTCCTGACTGTGAGAGCCGTTCAGCAGTGGAACTCTCTGCCCCGGAGTGAGGTGGCGGCTTCGTCTTTGGAAGCTTTTAAATAGAGACTGGATGGCCATCTGTCAGGGCTGATTTTAATGTAATATTCCTGCTTCTTGGCAGAATGGAGTTGGACTGGATGGCCCATGAGGTCACTTCCAACTCTTTGATTCCATGATTCTATGAATGGTTTATAGAATGGTTTATACAAACATATAACTGTTTGTTTAACTTTGTATTGTAGTGTGAATGTTGCAATTGGCCAGCTTGATTATCATTAAATGGCCTCGCAGCTTCAAAGCTTGGCTGCTTCCTGCCTGAGGGCGGTCCTTTGTTAAAAGGTGTTAGCTTTTATTTATTTATCGTGTCAGGAGCAGACCAAACAGTTGTATTGCATTTTTGAACAAACAAACAAACAAAGCACAAAATTTGCAAGCTTGGTAGTTAGCTGGCCCTGATTGTTTCCTGAAAGGTTGATGAGCACCAACCCCAGAGTCCGACATGACTAGACTTAATGGCAGGGGAAACCTTTACCTTTACTACTCAAACCAGTAGCTAGTTCTTCCTGTCTCTACACTACCACCTTGTGGCTACCTCTGACCACTACATGCACTCAAATTTATTTGCCAGTAGCCATTTTTTCTATCTTAATACTGCCATTCTGTGGATGCCTCTGAACACAGCATACACACAAACTTATAGCCCAGTATAAGACAAGTATAAGACAAGCATCCCGAGCTCTAAGGATTCCCTGGGAAGGAATCCCACTGGAGCATTGCAGTGCACCCAAATACTTGGGAGTCACTCTGGATCAAGCTCTGACCTACAAGAAGCACTGCCCGAATATCAAGCAATAAGTGGGTGCTAGAACCAATATCATAGGAAAGCTGACTGGCACAACCTGGGGATCACAACCAGACACAGTGAAGACATCTGCCCTTGCAGATGAGTACGCATGCCCAGTGTGGAACACATCTCACCACGCTAAAACAGTGGATGTGGCTCTTAATGAGACATGGCGCATTATCACAGAGTGTCTGTGCCCTACACCACTGGAGAAATTACATTGCTTAGCCGGTATTGCACCACCTGACACCAATAGTAGCAACCAACAGTGAAAGGACCAAGGCAGTGACATCTCCAGCTCATCCCGTTTGGGTATCAGATAGCACGTCAACGACTTAAATCAAGAAATAGTTTTCTAAGATCTACAGAGACACTCGCTGGAACACCTCAGCAAGCGAGAGTTCAGAAGTGGCAGGCTCAAACCCAGCACCTCAATCCATGGGTGATACCAGATGAGAGACTCCCCTCTGAGCACACAGAAGACTGTGCGACTTGGAAGGCGCTGAACAGCCTGCGCTCTGGCACCACGAGATGCAGAGCCAATCTTAAGAAATGGGGACACAAAGTGGAATCCACAACTTGTGAGTGTGGGGAAGAGCAAACCACTGACCACCTGCTGCAATGCAACCTGAGCCCTGCCACATGCACAAGGGAGGACCTCCTTGAGGCAACACCAGAGGCACTCCAAGTGGCCAGATACTAGTCAAAGATACTAATCAACTACCAAGCTTGCAAACTTTGTTTTGTCTGTTTGTTTGTTAAATGTAATGCAACTGTTCAGTCTGCTCCTGACACGATAAATAAATATATCCCAGTAGCTAATTCTGGAAGTCTGATGGTGCGAAGTGGGATGAATAAGGGGGATGCGGTCAGATTCCAAAGCACAGGAGCAGGCTTCCTACATTTGGAGAACAGGTGAGTTGTGAACTGGTGCGTTGTCTTGCACAAGGCAAAGGGCACCTTTGGTGAGCATGACACATTGTCTCTTGGTTTGGATGGCCTCCCCCAATTTCCGCAGCAGTGAAGCCCAGTCTGCCCCAGTGATCATGTTCCCCTTTGCTAGGAAATCCATCCATCCCACTCCGTGCTGGTCCCAATATCCTGTGAGCATGATCTTGCCTGCTAAGAGTTGGGCACGGGCCTTTTTTGGAGGCCGTGAGTCAGGATGCTTCCACTGCATCGACTGGACTTGAGTCTCAGGATCAGAGTGATGGACCCAGCTTTCCTCCTGTGTGATCCGTCTGTTGAAAAAGTCCTGGTTTCCATAGCACATCATTGTCAAGAGAGCATTCAACTCGTTCCTACTTCTGGAAAGGTGTGAGTAGCCAGGGGATCCAGCGAGTGAATATCTTATGCATGGGAAGATGGTCTTGCGTGTTTTTTTCCATGGACCCCACACTCATCCTGACATTTTGGGCTAGGTGGCAAATGGTTACGCAGCCATTTTCCAAAATAGCGACCTCCACTTACTGGATGGTGTGTTCCTCAATAGCAGAGTGGGGTCACCCTGGAATTGGAGCTGTTTGCACCCAAGTCTGGCCACATTTGAATGGATGACGCCAGTTCTTGACTCCATCATATAATGGGGAATCCTCACCATCAACCTCTTTCATCTCATCAAACGTCTCCTTTGATTTGCAGCCTTGCAAGGAAAGGAACTTGAGGACTGCTTGGTATTCCCACTGGGTCTGTTATCAAACCTCACTCCACTCCAGCAACCATCACATCAAGACCATTCTCAGTCCTGCGTTGTAAATTGCCACATACGAGGAGCCTTCATTAAAAATTTCCCCTGACCCCCTTCTATTTATCACAGGATGCTGAAACTGCACATGTGTAAAGGTAAAAGTCTCTACAGGAATAGCAGCAATGCTTATTAATTATTTCTTTACGACATTTATATGCCGCCCTTCTCATCCCGAAGGGGACTCAGAGCGGCTTACAAGGTATATATACATATATATTATTAGTATAGTACAATATCAGTTTTAAATATTGCTATATTGTACTATATCAATTATACTGTAATATTATTAGTAATATTACATGTACCGTATATTCTGGTGTATAAGACTCCTTTTTAACCCAAGGAAATCTTCTCAAAAGTCAGAAGTAGTCTTATACGTGGGAGTCGTCTTATACGTGGGAGTAGTCTTATACACAGGAGTCGTCTTATAGAGAGGATGCTGAAACTTCCAATCGGATTGGAGAATCTGTGCTTGCTGCATATGGTGGGGGGAGCTCAAAAATGGCAATGGCCGTGTCCCTGCCATATGCAGCAACTGTATGAAAGCATTAAGGGCGACGCTGTACAAGTACAGTAGAAGAAAATCCATTCATCAGGATTCGTGGACTTAATGTGGTCCCAATGGTGAGGTGAAGGGGTGCCTCACCGGGAAGGTGTAAGTCAGTGGTTCTCAATCTGGGGGTCCCCAGATGTTTTTGGCCTACAACTCCCAGTAATCCCAGCCAGTTTACCAGCTCTTAGGATTTCTGGGAGTTGAAGGCCAAAAACGTCTGGGGACCCCAGGTTGAGAACCACTAGTGTAAGTGAAGGGCGGAGCAAGCTGCAGGCATCCGGGGCACCCGGGGTATGGAAAAAAGAGTAGCTCTGGGCCCAGACAAACACACCTCTTTTACCTGTCTGGCCCGTCCTTGTATCCTATTACCATACCTCCTCCTCTGCCTCTCAGATCTCGCTCCTGAAGACTGCAGTGAAATGGTGCAGGTGCGCATGTGCAAGATCTGAGAGGCAGAGAAGGAGGTACGGTAATAGGAAAATTACCATATTAAAATCAAATCTGATGCTTTTAAAAATGTTATTTGGTGTGCATTGGAAGAGGGATAGTCTTATATGGCAAATATATTCGAAACTCTATATTTTAACTGGAAAAGTTGGGGGTCGTCTTATACGCCCAGTTGTCTTATATACTGGAATATACAGTAATATAAATATATAATTATAATATATCATATTATTATTATATTGCATTACATTATAATATTATAAACCTTGCTTCAAGGATGGATTGCCTACTCTTTGCTACTCAAATCATGTATGTTAATGGAGAGGTTGGATGGCTATCTGTCAAGAGACCTTTGATGGTGTTTTTCTGCCTAGCAGAAAGGGGTTGGACTAGATGGCCCTTGGGGGTCCCATCCACTATCAAAATATATTATATTGCCGAATGGAGCTGGTACTGAAGAAGGCACAGCAAATACAAAACCACAGGAGTCCAAAAGCAGAGACAAGAGAAATTTACTAAACTTATCCCAGTATTGGAAAATAAGACTCACACAGTACAAATGTAAAATCAGTACAAAAAAGCTAAGACGTGGCAAAGGCATATAGTTTGGATGCAGCATGTCAACACCAGGGATGGGCAAGAGAAATGCCAAATAGTAAACAAATGGAAATATAACCAAGGACATGATCTTCAGAACTATATCTATGGTCCCAACTGATATAAAACGTGAATATTTTGTTATTGGAGTTGGAAGGGATGGTGTTAGACTCAAGAGGGGAACCTTGCGTTCTCCCAAACTGAGCTCCAACAAGCCGATAATTGTCAATCAAGGGACCGACAAAGTTAACATCTAACAACATCTGTGGATGACTCCACAAGTCAGTGATAGGAATGTATAAGGAATTAGGAAGGCAAGTGAAGACAAGACACGGATGAGTTAGAGAGTTCATTAGATAGAAAAAGAGAATGCTGCTTCCATTCAAGAATTAAAACACTGCCTGTTTCAAAGAGCAGTAGCACAGAAGGACTTGATGATAGGCTTAAGCCACGTACACGAAGCTCAGCAAAAGCCCTTCCAAGGGCTCCAACTTCAGGCCCTGCAGGCTCAGCTGTTTCTTCTCCCGGCTGGGATTTGTGCTGAGCTCCACCACAACTTCGGGGGGCAGGTGGGCGTGTGCTATGGAGACAGTACTCTCTTGGGCCTCGAAGTTGAGCACCGCCAGGAAGCGCTTGTTCTGGTCCCAGACCCGCAAGTAGGAGAAGACCCCTGGGCTGGAACTGGCAGCCTCCGAAAATTCGCCATGGAGAAGCGAGCGCTCCTTGCCCCGAAGGTCGCTCAGCTGCTGGAAGAAGGTCAAGACCGAGTCCTTGTTGCCACTCTGTGACTTGGGGGAGAGAGTGAGGGAAAGTGAGTTATCACCATAGCTAGTAGGATGACATAATCATAGAGTCAAAAGAGGCCACAAAGGCCATGCAATCCAATCTCTCCCTCCCTCTCTGCCTTCAGAGAATCATAGAAGATAACACAAAGGCCATCCAGTCCATCCATCCATCATCCTTCCCAAAAATAATAAAATTGGGTTTTTCTTGATTTTTTTTGCTAATCATTTTGTTTGTTTGTTTCGCCACTTTTTTCCAGAATTCTTTAATTATGTTGCAGGTCCACCATATGTGGAAAAAAGATCCCTTCACCTTCTTGCATCTCCAGCAAGCCCCTCGTCCTGTTTTCTCTATTTTAGCTAATAACTCTGGAGTTATGTAGATTCTGTAAAACATTTTAAACATATTTTCTCTAATTGAGCTGGCCACTGAAAATCTAAACCCCTTTTTCCAAAGATGTTCCCACTCTTCCAAATCGATATTTCTAACTACATCTTTGGCCCACGTGATCATAACAGTTTTTATTTGGTTGTCTACTAAATTGTATTTTATAATATATTTGTAGAGCCTGGATATTAGGCCTTTGTTGCCCTTCTTGAAGATACTTTCTAACTCCGATTTATTAGAGGCAAATCCTACTAATAATCCTGCTTGCGCTCCCACCTCCTTCGCAGGCGCGATTGGTGGGGACGAGGGAGAGGGCCTTCTCGGTGGTGGCCCCCGACTCTGGAATTCACTCCCCAAGGACATCAGACATGCCCCAACGCTGGCAGTCTTTAGGAGGAACCTGAAAACGAGATGTGCCTTCCCAGAATAAGGTGGTGTGCCTTCCAGTGTGCCTTCCCAGAATAAGGAAACCTCTTAGCAATATGTCCTCAAATGCATTTTAATATTGATTTAGGATTGTGTGCGCTCCCTCATCTTTCTTTGAAAACCCTATCCTAGTTATACCCTACCTTGTTCATGCCCAGCATTATTTTTAAATTTTAATTATTACATTTGGCCTGGCCATAGGTTTTAAATGCTTGTATGTTATTGTTATTGTGTATTTTTTGTTTATGAGATTTATTTTAACTGTTTTGTATTGATTATTTGTTATTGCCTTCGTTTATTGATGTACTGCGGGCTTGGCCTCATGTAAGGCGCACCGAGTCCCTAGCGGGGTGCAAATAAATATTATTATTATTATTATTATTATTATTATTATTATTATTATTACTTTTGCATCCTTCCTAAATCTGTCGTGTCGTTGGAAAAAACTGAACCAATCTTTTAACCCAGATTCTTCCCTGCTTTTAAGTATCAATTGCCCTTTCTCTTTGACCAGGTAATCCTTGTATGTGCCGGAGTCAGCATGTGTGGCCGGGTCTCTGAACTGCTTCCAGTGGGCACAGCCATAGGGGGGTTTTTTGGCTCCATACCCTTCTTATATCTTTTCCATGTTGCTAAAAGGCTGGCTCTTATTACATGCCCATTAAATTCTTTGTTCACCCTGTCCTTATCATCCCATAGATAGGCATGCCATCCGTTTCTTAATAGAATTGGAAGACATCACGAGACACCTCCCTCCCTTCCTAGAATCATAGAACAGACCACAAAGGCCATCCAATCCATTCATCCATCCTTCCCTCCCTCCCTCGAATCATAAAATTGGAAGAGACTACAAGGGCCATCCAGTCAACCCATTCTTCCTTCCACTTATCCACCCACACACTCACCCATTCCTACAAGCATAGAATTGGAAGAGACCACAAGGGCCATCCAGTCCGTCCGTCCTTCCTTCCACTCATCCACCCACCCACCCACAATAGACCATAAGGGCTATTCAGTCTATCCATCCATCTTTCCACTCATCCACCCACCCATCTCTACAGTCATAGAATTAAAAGAGCAAGCTTGTATTCTACTGTCCTGGAGACTAGGATGTGGAGCAATGGCTTCAAGCTACAGGAAAGAAAGGAGATTCCACCTGAACATTAGGAAGAACTTTCTGACAGTGAGAGCTGTTCAGCAGTGGAACTCTCTGCCCCAGAGTGTGGTGGAGCCTCCTATGGCGGCTTTTAAACAGAGGCTGGATGGCCATCTGTTGGGGGTCCTTTGAACACAATTTTCCTGCTTCTTAGCAGGGGGTTGGACCGGATGGTCCACGAGGTCTCTTCCAACTATGATTTATTTATTTATTTATTAGTCAATCAATTTTATATGCCTCCACTCCCCGAAGGCTCGGAGTGGTTCACAATATACACATGTAATATATAACATTAAAATCAAGGAAAAAATTGATCAGCAAGGTTCAAATACCAGCCTAAATAAATAATTTGATGGTTCTGTGAGACCACAAGGACCATCCAGTCTATTCATCCTCCCACCCACCCATCCTTCCACTCATTTACCCACCCATCCCCACAATCAAAGAATTGGAAGAGACCACAAGGCCCACTCAGTCCATCCATCCTTCCTTCCACTCATCCATCCACCTCTACAATCATAGAATCGGAAGAGATCACAAGGGCCACCCAGTTCCAACTTCCAGAACTAGAAACAGGAACGGAAAAGCTTTGGCACTCCAGATATTCCGGAGCAAAATGCAAAAAAAAAAAAACTGTGATAAGGAACTTTGGCCATATTGGATGGGGGATACTTGGCTTGAATCTCACCTGCACCGTGACATTACTAGTTGTTGGGCTGCCCGACTGCTGTGCCTCTTTTGAGAACCCGAAGTTTGCTGAATTGTCCCACTGCATACGAATGGGGCTGGATGCTGCAGGCTGGATGGAGAAAGAAAAAGGTTAGCAATAGCTTGGACTTGAGCCGAATTCAGGCACAAAGTGCCCCCAAAACATTTACATTTTGAGTAGAGATGTCAAGCACACATGGAGACAAAAGTGATCCCTGAAAACTAGTCTTGAAACTATGGTACTTGAGACACTTTTGACTTGTATTTGAATACATTTATTGAATGGTTCTATTGCTTTAAACTATGGCTCAATTTGCACTTTCATATAATGCAGTTTAATAATAATAATAATAATAATAATAATAATAATAATAATAATTTACTTTATTTATATTCCATCCTATCTCCCCGAGGGAGCTCAGAGCGGATTACAGTCCACATATACAACAAACATTCAATGTCGTTATACAATTAATAAAGACAGACAATACATAAACAGAGGTAAAGGTTTCCCATCTTTTTCCATCTCCCGCATCTGGAGGCTGTTATCGACTTAGGCCACAGGGGAGCGCTGTTGCTCTATCTTCCTTGCTGAGCAGATTTATTTATTTTATTATTTATTTAAAAGTTTTATATACCGACCTTCTCACCTCTCTTGAGGGACTCAAGACGCTCTCCCAATCAAATCAGCAAAGTGGTATTGATTTAGATAATCAAATTATTGGGTTGTTGTAAGTTTTTTTTACGGGCTATATGGCCATGTTCTAGAGGCATTCTCTCCTGACGTTTCGCCTGCATCTATGGCAAGCATCCTCAGAGGTAGTGAGGTCTGTTGGAACTAGGAAAGTGGGTTTATATATCTGTGGAATGACCAGGGTGGGACAAAGAACTCTTGTCTGTTGGAGCTAGGTATGAATGTTTTAACTGACCCCCTTGATTAGCATTTGATGGCCTGGCAGTGCCTGGGGCAATCTTTTGTTGAGTGGTGATTAGATGTCCTTGTTTGTTTCCTCTCTGTTGCTTTGCTGTTGTAATTTTAGAGTTTTTTAATTTTAGAGTTTTTTAAATCAAATTATTGTTTTTGAACTGCTATGTGAACAGAAGCAGAAGCAGGGCTGATGGTTGGGAGCTCACCCCAACTCAGGCTTGAACTGTCGACCTTTCAATTGGCAAGATTTTCTGCAGCTGGCGATATAACCCGCTGCGCTAAAACCCAGCCCCTTGAAAGGATAGTGTACACTCATATAATCCATTTCAGTGCACTTCAATCTGCATTATGAGTTTACATTGACTATATAACTACATTATATGGCAGTATAGATGGGGCCTATGTATTTTTTAGTATTTTGGTGTTTAATTCTAAGTTCCTATATGTATGTTTTTCAGGTTTTAAATCAGGGGTCCTCAAACTTTTTAAACAGAGGACCAGGTCACAGTCTCTCAAACTGTTGGAGGGCCGGATTATAATTTGGAAAAAAAATGAAATGAATTAATTCCTATGCACACGGCACATACCTTATTTGTAGTGCAAAAACACTTAAAACAATACAGTAATTAAAATGAAGAACAACTTTAACAAATATAAACTTACTAGTATTTCAAGGGGCAGTGTGGGCCTGCTTTTGGCTGATAAGATTGGTTTTTTGTTGTTGTTGTTGTGTGCTTTCAAGTCGTTTCAGACTTAGGTTGACCCGAGGACCGGGTAAATTACCTTGGAGGGCCGCATCCGGGCCCCGGGCCTTAGTTTGAGGATCCCTGTTTTAAATTATATATTGTGTTAAATGTATTGTTGAAAGCTTTCATGGATGGATTCACTGGGTTGTTGTAGGTTTTTCGGGTTGTATGGCCATGCTCTAGAAGCATTCTCTCCTGAGTTTTGCCTGTATCTATGGCAGGAATCCTCAGAAGTTGTGGGGTCTCACAAACTCTGAGGATGCCTGCCATAGATGCAGGCAAAACGTCAGGAGAGAATGCTTCTAGAACATGGCCGTACAGCCTGAAAAACCGACAACAACCCATATATTGTGTTTATTTTATTGTCTGTTGTGTTTAGAAGGATAAAGTGGGGTATGGATAACCGCAAGAACATCAACTGAACAAACACTTGGTTCCTCTTGTGACTGGGGAACAGCAAAACGATGCATACCTTCTCCATCTACTGTTTGGAAACTAAAGTATCCTAACATGCTAGAATCGTAAACCAAGAGTAAACCTGGCCTATGATTCTGGCTGAAAAGCAGCAAGCAAGAGTTTTCCGTTTGGACATCACATTGTTTACAAGGCCTGCCAGTAAAAGGAACCAAGCAGGAGTAATCAAGCACCAGTGTGTTTGTTCATCCACAGTAAGTCCAAATCCAAACGTACAGTCCCTTTGTTTATTTGGCCTCTCTTGCCACTAACTTCCTTTCTTATGTTGCATTCCTTCCCCAAAATCATCCCGGTGATTCCCTGTATAGTCTCTGTGTAGAAGCCATTGACATCTAGAGGCATGTGGACAATGTCAACAGAAAGGGGGAAACCATGAAAATGAATAAAATATGGCTACCAGTATTTTTTTTTAAAAAAAAACTCTAAAATCAGGGCAGTAAATAAAGAGCAACACTCAGGAAAAAGGGGAATTCCAGACTGGAAACAATCAGGGCCAGCTAACACCTCCAAACAAAGGATTCCCCCAGGCAGGAAGCAGCCAGACCTTAAAGCTGCAAGGCCATTCAATGCTAATCAAGGTGGCCAATTCCACATTTATTTTTATTTTAATCGTGTCAGGAGTGACTCCTGGTGTGAGAGAATTGGCCGTCTGCAAGGACGTTGCCCAGGGGACGCCTGGATGATTTTGATATTTTTATCATCCTTGTGGGAGGCTTCTCTCATGCCCCCACGTGAGGAGCTGGAGCTGATAGAGGGAGCTCATCCGCCTCTCCCCGGATTTGAACCTGCGACCTGTCAGTCTTCAGTCCTGCCAGCACAGGGGTTTAACCCACTGCGCCAATTCCACATGCCTCAAGCAGACAAGAGTTCTTTCTCCCACCCTGGACATTCCACAGATATATAATCCTCACTTGCCTAGTTTCCAACAGACCTCACAACCTTGGAGGATGCCTGTCATAGATGCGGGAAAACATCAGGAGGGAATGCTTCTGGAACATGGCCAGACAGCCCAGAAAATTCACAGCAACCCATTATTATTATTATTATTATTATTATCATTATTATTATTATTATTATTATTATTATTATTATTATTATTTAAACCCAGTATCACTCCCACCTGTTGTCCAGGGAGGTCTCGCAGCCCAATCTCGTCACCGTAGTCTGTGAAAGGTGTCCCTGGCAATGTATAGAGGAGCATGTGGTACAGGCGGAGAATCTGCTCGCCCCTCAAAGCATCCAAATAGCCAACGCTGGGTCTCGCCACCTGCAGAACGACAAGTACTTAGCATCCAAGCAAAAGAACAATATCAAAATCATTTAGTTGAATAACACTAGATAACAAACTTTGAAAACAAAATCTTTTCCTGGTTTGAAAGTGTTATTCCTGTTTGAAAACTTCATTTTTCTGGCTGCCACAAACTACCATCTATACTCGAGTATAAGCCGAGTTCTTCAGCCCTCCTTTTAGACTGAAAAAGCCCCCCCCCCCCAGCTTATATGCAAGTCAAAGTTATTTATTATTTTGTTCTGTTATTACTATTATTACATTTATAATTTTTCTCTATTAATGTTATTATTAATGTTATTATTTGAATCCAGGGAGAGAGCGGATGAGCTCCCTCTGTCATCTCCAGCTCTCCACATGGGGACATGAGAGAAGCCTCCCACAGGGATGGTAAAACATTTGAGCGTCCCCTGGGCAATGTCCTTGTAGATGGCCAATTCTCTCACACTAGAAGCGACTTGCAGTTTCTCAAGTCACTCCTGACATGATTATTACATTTATTATTCTATTATTATTACATTTATTACTTTACTCTAATTTTATTATCACATTTATTATTAACTCTTATTATTTTTATTATTGCATTCCATTATTTTACTCTATTATTATTACATTATTACATTTATTATTTACTCTTTTATTATTATTACATTTATTATTTTACTCTCTATTGCAGTGGTTCTCAACCTTTCTAATGCTGTGACCCCTTAATACAGTTCCTCATGTTGTGGTGACCCCCAACCATAAAATTATATATGTTGCTACTTTGTAACTGTTAAGGCGAGGTGCAGGGGGGTGGCTCTGCCTGTGGCCTAGTTGGAACACCTCAGCAAGTGAGAGTCCAAAAGTGGCAGGCTCAAACCCAGAACCTCAACCAATGGCTGATACCAAATGAGAAACTCCCCCCTGGGCACACAGAGGACTGGGCGACTTGGAAGGCGCTGAACAGACTGCGCTCTGGCACCACGAGATGCAGAGCCAACCTTCAGAAATGGGGCTACAAAGTTGAATCCTCGACATGCGAGTGTGGAGAGGAGCAAACCACTGACCACCTGCTGCAATGCAACCTGAGCCCAGCCACATGCACCATGGAGAGCCTTCTTGCGGCAACATCAAGGGGCCAGATGATGTTCAAAGGACATTTAATAAACTACCAAACTCACACATTTTGTATTTTCTGTTTATTTGCTTTGCTCTGTAAGAAATGTAATATAACTGACTGGCCATAACTGACAGGCAGAGCCATCCGCCCGCTCCTCGCCTCCATGTTCCAGCTGAAGGAGACGGGAGGCGGGCGGGAGGCTCTGCCTGCGGCCTAGCGCCACCGGAGCCTCCCGCCCGCCCTTCACCTCCATCTTCAAGCTGCAGAAGGAGGCGGGAGGCGGGCGGGAGGCTCCGGTGGCGCTAGGCCGCAGGCAGAGCCTCCCGCCCGCCTCCCGTCTCCTTCAGCTGGAAGATGGAGGCGAGGAGCGGGTGGATGGCTCTGCTGTGTCCTAGCGCCAATCCCGCGACCCCGCCCGCCTCCCGTCTCCTTCTGCAGCTTGAAGATGGAGGCGAGGAGGCGGGCGGGAGGCTCCGGTGGCGCTAGGCCGCAGGCAGAGCCATCCACCCGCTCCTCGCCTCCATCTTCCAGCTGAAGGAGACGGGAGGCGGGCGGGAGGCTCTGCCTGTGACCTAGCGCCACCGGAGTCTCCCGCCCGCCCCTCGCCTCCATCTTGGGCGGATCGACGTTTATTCACCCTTTAGCCCGGAACAGAGGTGAGTCTTCTTCATCCAAATGGTTAGTCTTCTTCATCCAAAGTTTCTCCTCCTGACTATCCACAGATCTCTGGGAAGATCAGGAGGAGCAGCCTATCAGTACAATTGACTTGTGGGTCGGCCGCCATTTTGGAGGGGGCGTGGCTAGCCAATGCGGCTTGGCGACCCCCAGAAAATGGCCAAACGACCCCCCGGGGGGTCGCGACCCCCAGGTTGAGAACCGCTGCTCTATTGTTACTGTTATTATTACACTTCCATTATTGTACTCTATTAGTACTATTTTATTACATTTATTATTTTATTCTCTTTATTATTATTGGAAGGATATGTAAGCACATGGACCTTGAATAAGGTTAGAATAATGGTTGAATCGCAGTTGGACAGTCTTATCTTCAATTACAGCTTTATGTAAATATTCAAAACCATTGAACCTACTGATGCTTCAATGTCATTTTATTGGTATCTATTTTTGTTTTTCTTTTGCTGTGGCCCAGTCTGTGTATATGTGTATTGTGTGTGTATATGTGTGTGTTTATGTATATATATGTGGTTTTCTGCATGTGTTGTAATGTAATTTTTAGGGGTTTTTTTGGCTTTTTAAGTCTCTTCTGCTGTGTTTTTTAGTGTTTTTATGAGCGATGGTCACTTGTTGGCCTGATAGGTGTCTTGTGTCCAAATTTTGTGTCAGTTTGTCCAGTGGTTTTTGAATTATGTTAATCCCACAAACGAACATTACATTTTTATTTATATAGATGGACCAGTAGCTGCTGCATTTCCCACCCTCGGCTTATTTATTTATTTATTTACGACATTTATATGCCACCCTCAGTCCCAAAGGGGACTGAGTGGTTTACAAGGTATATATACATACAATATATAATATTAGTAGCATAGTACAAATAATAAATATTGCTATATTGTACTATACCAATTATATTGTAATATTATTTGTAATATTACATGTAATATAAATATATAATTATAATATCATATTATTATTAGTAGTAATATAATATAGTAGTAATATAATACATTATATATTATAATGTAATATAGCATTACATTATAATATTATAAATATTATATGTATATATATATATTATATTATACTATATTATATTATTAGAATAGCACAGGAGACAAAGTGGAACTGTCCCCTGGCCCCACTCTCTTCACTCCGGCCCAGAACAGCAGTTGGTACTGGGGGGGAATCAATATGTTTTCCCAGCTTTTTGTGGTAAAATTAGGTGCGGCGGCTTATATTCGGGTCGGCTTATAATCGAGTATATAAGGTATGTTGAATCGGTTGAGACTCAATGAGACATGCACTGAAAACCTATCGCAAAATGTACTATAGCACGATGTCCTGCAGAAGCCAAGTTTTTGCAGTTTAATAAACATATTTCCATGCTGGGGAAAGTGGAAGGCAAAAGGAAGAGGGGCCGACCAAGGGCAAGATGGATGGATGGCATCCTTGAAGTGACTGGACTGACCTTGAGGGAGCTGGGGGTGGTAACGGCCGACAGGGAGCTCTGGCGTGGGCTGGTCCATGAGGTCACGAAGAGTCGGAGACGACTGAACGAATGAACAACAACAACAAAACATATTTCCATGTTTTGGACTGCAACTCCCACAATTCCTAACAGCCTCAGGCCCTTTCCTTTTCCCCCTCAGCCGCTTAAGCTCCTGAAAGAGATGTTGTGTTTATGCTTTTCGGACCGCATCTTGGCCTATGAGCCCACGAGGACCTTGAGATCGTCTGGGGAGGCCCTTCTCTCGATCCCGCCTGCTTCACAGGCACGTCTGGCGGGGACGAGAGAAAGGGCCTTCTCGGTGGTGGCCCCCCGGCTGTGGAACGACCTCCCTGCTGACATCAGACAGGCGCCTTCCCTTCTGTCCTTCCGAAAGAGCCTGAAGACCTGGCTATTTGAGAAGGCATTCAACTGAGCGCTACGGCAACTGGTAATTGACAACTGGAACGGAATACGGATTACGATATTGGTTATGATTCTATGATGTGACGGAGCGGATTATTTAGTGTAACTAGATTATAGTGTATTATTGTTGTATTGATTCCCTGTTTTGCCCTTTTTGTAAACTGTTTTTATATGTTGTGCACCGCCGCGAGTCGCCCTAGGGCTGAGAGCGGCGATCAATAAATGCAGTAAATAAATAAATAATAAATAATAATTGTGGTCTTCATACTCATAGCCCAGCGTGCTATGAATATGAACACCACCACACCTCTTTCTACATCGCAAGGCTAGCTACTCACGCTCCATCCAGCCCACTTGTCCCCAGCCGCTCTGATGTAGTTCTTGATCAGCTGGGAGACGGTTTCTCCCCTCTTGGCATCCTCCTGGCCACTCTTTGCCAGTCCCACCAGGTACTCGCTGGTCAGCACATCGACACCTGCCGTTTCATTGAGAAGGGAGAAAATGCCCGGAGCATCCTGCTTCTGCGTCACAGCGATCAACACCCTGAAGGAGGAGGACAGAGAGGGTCCTTGAATGAGAGTCAGATCAAAATGGAAGTTTGTGTCTCTCCAGGCAACACTCTGAGCCAAGGAGACACAAACAGGGATGCAAGTAAGGGCATGGTTCTATGGGAACACCAAAACAACACAGGTTTATAATGTAACAGGAAGTTTTAAAATAGTACTGGCCATTCACTCAATATGGCCAAATGTGAACACTGGTGGTGTTTGGGGAAAACAGAATCTTGACATTTGGGAATTGTAGTTGCTGGGATTTGTAGTTCACCTACAATCACAGACCATTCCGAACCCCACCAATGATAGCATTGGGCCAAACCTCCCACACAGAGCCCCCATGACCACCAGAGTGGGCCACAGCAACGCGTAGTAGGGGACGGCTAGTAAATAAATAAATGAGGATGAAAGGAAGGAAGGGGAAGATGGAAGGAGGAAGAGGGAGAGAGGGAAGGAAGGAAGGACAAAAGGGAAGGAGGAAGGGAAGAATGGAAGGAAGGGAATGATAAGGGAATAAGAGAAGGAAAGACAAAAAGGAAGGATGGACGGAAGGAAGGAAGGAGAAAGAGGGAGAGAGGGAAGGACAAAAGAATGAAAGGGAAGTATGGAAGGAAGGAAGGGAAGGAGGAAGGAAAGAGAGAAGGAAGGAAGGGAATGGAGGGAAGGAAAAAGAAAAGAGAGAAGGAAGGAAGGATAGGATGTTGAGAGAGAGGAGGGCCTGAGAAAAGAGCCCAAGGGGCCGCATCTGGTATAAATGCTTAGGGCAAACAATACCTGGGAAACTCTCATAAACCAGAGTGGCCATTTCAGGTTTGGAATTAATCCTTCCTAACATTTCTAATGCTTCCAATAGGATGGCCATCTGTCAGGGGTGCTTTGATTGTGCTTTTCCTGCCTGAAAGAATGGGGTTGGACATGGTGGTCCTTGGGGTCCCTTCCAATTACAAGGTTCAATAATAATAATAATAATAATAATAATAATAATAATAATAATAATAATAATAATAATAATATACTGTATTTATATTCTACTCTAACTCTCCAAGGGGATTTTTTATTCCAGCATCTGGAAGTAATGCTCAACTCCGGCCATAGGGAGGTGCTCTTGTTCCATTTTTCCACGCTGAGGAGCCTGTTATCCATGGACAACTTCCTGATCAAATTGCCAGCATGTCTTCAGGGGCATATTTTACCTCCCCACCAAAGTGGTACCTATTTATCTGCTCACATTGCTGTTTTCAAACTGCTAGGGCTGACAGCGGGAGCTCACCCCAACCTGCGGCTTGAACTTCCTACCTTTGGGTCGGCAAGATTTTCTCTAACTAGCAGTTTATTTTACATCACCACCACTAATCACCACTATTAACACTAATAATGATGATGCGAGAGCCTTCTTCCCGAGAGGTTTTTAAGCAGAGGCTGGATGGCTATTTTCTGAGAAAGCTTGGATTGTGTTTTCCTTCATGGCAGAAATGGATTGGACTGGATGGCCCTTGAAATCTCTTCCTATTCTGGAATTCTATGAACCATTACCATGATTAAGCAAAACAATAAGCCAATTGTTGTATCCAAGGAGACATCAATCCAGCTTTAGCAAATGCATGATTTTTTGTGGCCTCAAGACCTCTTTCATCCAGCATTCCCTGATTACAAAGAGGCTTTTTGAAATCCCTAGGCCATTGCTCCCTCCCATTCATTTTGCAAGCAACTGTATGTAGTTGTCACAACTAGAAGCCTTATCTTTCATTATCTGATCTTAGGCCTTTTGTCCAAGGAGAACGTCTATGATATCCATCACTCCCCACGGTAGAAGCCAATGGATGGAAAGAGAGCTTCCTTTCATTGGTTCTAATTTCCCCACTATTGCCTCTTTGTGGATGATCCCAGGAGACAACTCAGACAAAAGGGAGGAAAAAATAAACCTTTCCATTCTGAATTTTTCCGTACAACACACATACACTCTTTTGTTATCTACACCTTTTGATGTAATACATAGCAGTCTCTTTCAAAGGGAGTTACTTGGATGAAGGGACAGAGTTTCATCTATGCAGATGATCATGCCATTACCACTCAAGCAGGGAGCTTTGAGGTGGTTGAACACCTAGAGCTCTCTGAAGCTCTAGGTGCTCTTACTGCCTATGATAGGGAAAATCAGCTGATCCCTAATCCACCTAAAACACAAACATGTGCTTTTCACCTTAAGAACAGACAAGCATCCTGAGCTCTGAGGATCACCTGGGAAGGAATCCCACTGGAGCATTGCAGCGCACCCAAATACCTGGGAGTCACTCTGGACCATGCTCTGACCTACAAGAGGCACTGCCTGAATATCAAGCAAAAAGTGGGCGCTAGAAACAATATTATACAAAAGCTGACTGGCACAACCTAGGGATCACAACCAGACACAGAGAAGACATCTGCCCTTGCGCTATGCTACTCTGCTGCTGAGTATGCATGCCCAGTGTGGAACACATCTCACCACGCTAAAACAGTGGATGTGGCTCTTAATGAGACATGCCATATCATCACGGGGTGTCTGCGCCCTACACCACTAAAGAAATTACACTGCTTAGCCAGTATTGCACCACCTGACATCTGCTGGGAAGTAGCAGCCAATAGTGAAAGGACCAAGGCAGTGACATCTCCAGCTCATCCCGTTTGGGTATCAGCCAGCAAGTCAACGACTTAAATCAAGAAATAGTTTTCGAAGATCTACAGAAACACTCGCTGGAACACCTCAGCAAGCGAGAGTCCAAAAGTGGCAGGCTCAAACCCAGAACCTCAATCAATGGCTGATACCAAATGAAAGACTCCCCCCTGGACACACAGAAAACTGGGCGACGTGGAAGACGCTGAACAGATTGCGCTCTGGCACCACGAGATGCAGAGCCAACCTTAAGAAATGGGGCTACAAAGTGGAATCCACGACATGCGAGTGTGGAGAAGAGCAAACCACTGACCACCTGCTGCAATGCAACCTGAGCCCTGCCAAATGCACAATGGAGGACCTTCTTGCGGCAACACCAGAGGCATTCCAAGTGGCCAGATACTGGTCAAAGGACATTTAATCAACTACCAAGCTTGCAAAATTTGTATTTTGCCTGTTTGTTTGTTTGTTTGTTAAAAAATGCAATGCAACTGTTCGGTCTGCTCCTGACACGATAAATATAAAATAAATATAATACTTGGATGAACCCTTGGAACAACTGGGTTAATCTTTTCCAACTTCATAATGTCCTTTTTGAGACAATTCAATGATTAACAGCGACAAACAGTATTGCGCACACAGAGGATACTTACCTGGCATGGTCTTCGGCATATTGTTCAGTCAGGTTCTTCCAGGAATCCAAGATCTGAGTGTCCTGAAGGATGAACAAGTTGAAGGAATAGGATTGAGGCACCCGAAGTATCGCAGGCTCCTGCAATCCCGTCCCTAAAACTCCCAATTCCCTTCCCCTGAAAAGAGGACTAAAAAAATGCCCGACAACAAAACCAGGTTATTGGGTGATATGGAGAAGAAGCTTAGCTAGATTTGGCCCCCAAAAGAGTCACCAATGGACTCAGATGGCTCAAAATACTTACATTTAAGCTCTCGACGCTTCCAACCTGGATCCCAGATACACCTTCCTTCAGCCAGAATTCAATGGCTTCCTGAGGAATGGACAATGAGAAAGTTATTAGCCCTCTATACATTACTGGAAAGCAGAACTCTATCTGGGTTGCTAGGCCCTAGTTGTGATACTTCATTTTATGTATGACGGGGTAAAGAAATAAATACAGCCATGCGGCTTAAGGAAGAAAGTGTTGTCACTGAATTAGACACAGTCTGGCTCAAATGTGTTTTACCAGCCATGAAGTACAATGAATTGGCTGCTGGGGAAATGCATTCAGGTCCCAACTCAAGCACTAAATGTACTGGGTGACCCTAGAATTCCTTCTTTCCATCCTTCCTTTTCTTTCCTTTTTACTTTTCATTTCATTTCCTTCCTTCCTTGCCTTTCCTTCTTCTCTTCCCTTTCCTTCTTTTCTTCCCTTTCCTTCCTTCCCTTCCATTTCCTTCTTTTCTTCCCTTTCCTTCCCTCCCTTTCCTTCTTTTCTTCCCTTTCCTTCCCTCCCTTTCCTTTTCTTCTTTTCTTCCCTTTCCTTCCCTTCTTCCCTTTCCTTCTTTTCTTCCCTTTCCTTTCCTTCTTTTCTTCCCTTTCCTTCCCTTTCCTTCTTTTCTTCCCTTCCCTTCCTTCCCTTTCCTTTCCTTCCTTGCAGCTTCAAATGGTAATAAGTGCTAATCAAAGTGGCCAATTGCAACATTCACACTTGCCTCAAGAAGACAAGAGTTTTCTCCCACTCTGGACATCATTCCACAGATGTATAAACCTCACTTGGCTAGGTTCCAACAGACCTCACAGCCTCTGAGGATGCCTGCCTTAGATGTGGGCAAAATGTCAGGAGAGAATGCTTCTGGAACATGGCCAGACAGCCCAGAAAACACACAGCAACCCAGTGATTCCGGCCATGAAAGTCTTTGACAACATAATATTTTTATTTATTGTTTATTTTTATTTATTGTCCCTCCATAAGGGGACTCAAAGTGCCTTAGCACTGCAAAGTGCCCCTAATTAAAATGTAAGGGATACTAGGAAAGAGAACATCTCTATGATAAACTACTTTATTTTTATCCTGCCCTATCTCCCTGAGGGAGATACATGTGTGTGTGTGTGTGTGTGTGTGTGTGTGTGTGTGCGCGCGCGACTAATAAATAAATAAATCACAGGAACAGGAAATACATTTTTTACAGTTCACAGAATCCTAAGATGACAGGGGTGGGAGGAAATCTTAGGTCTCACAGTCCAAGCTCTCTCTGATGCAAGAAACCTTGCATCGTTCCCATTCCCTCTCCCTTTGAGAATTCTTTCCTTCTGCCACTCACTTTCATTTTTTCCTGGAGTTCATAGTTCTGATCCATCGGTTGGCTGAACCAAGGTGACTTACTCTGATAGTTGGGCGTCAAGTCTAAGATGACCTTTAAGTCTGAAAAAAGAGACGTGGCACAAGTCAAAAAAGCAGTTCCTTGGAGCTAAGGAAGCAAGATCCCAGGATGGGAGAGGCATCAGCCCACTCGACTATGCTCTTTACTTTTTTTCTTTGCTGCCTGTAGAACATTTCGGAACTCCGCCAATGTGCCCAGACTGGAGTCGACCTCCTGGAGGTTGGTTCCGGCCTGGTCGTCTTTGGGGTTGACATGAAGTGGTCCAATCACCAATCCTTTCACTTTGAGGGAACTCAAATAATCCATTCGTTGTTTCAGACCTGAAATTGTAGGAAAAAGTAGTAATAATATAGTAATAATATACTTTGTTTATATTCAGCTCTATCTCCCCAAGATAGAGCTGAATATCAGGGCAGATTACAGAACACACATACGGCAAGCATTCAATGATGTTATACAATTAACAAGGACAGACAATACACAGACAGAGGTAAAGGCATTTCTGGCATCTTGGAGGTTGTGTTTGACTCTGGCCACTGAGGGGTGGTATTGCTCCATCTTCCATGTCAAGGAGCTTTGTTGCCCTTAGACGGGTTCCTGATCAATGTCCTTAAGGGTACCTTTTTTACCTCCCCACTAAAAGCGGTACCTATTTATCTACTCACATTTCTGCTTTCGATCAGCTAGGTGGGCAGGGAGCCAGGACTAATGGCAGGTGCTCACCCTGACCCAGACAGGATTTTTCTGCAGCTAGCAGTTAAGTCCAATGTGCTAAGCCTGGCCCCCTTAGTATGGATTATGAGCAAAGTAGAACATCCTATCCCTGAGTTATAGAGAGAGTAGAGAATCAGAGAAAGGGTTCTCAGCTACTAAAAATAAATTGGGCTCATCAAGAAGAAAGGAGAGAAAAGGATCTAGGAGTCGTAGTCAACCACAAGCTGAACACGAGACAACAATGCAGTTAGAAAGGCCAATGCGATTCTTGACAGTATCAATAGTAGTGTCTAAAAAGCGATGAAGGTCATAGTCCCACATAGCCATGCGTGACTTCGGGCCTTTTACTCTATCACTTAAGACCTGGCTTCTTACTAGAGCATTCGATCTCTGTTAATTTTTAATTTCTGTATGTATGTATTTTTTCTTTTACAATTTAGCTGTAAATCGCCTAGAGCATTCTCGGATGGAGGGCGATTAATAAGTTATTAAATATGATGATGATGATGATGATGATGATGATGATGATGATGATGATGATATGATATGATATGATATGCTTTACTCAGTCCTCCCTTGGAGTAACTCTGTGTCCAGTTCTGGGCAAAGCAGGAAATAGGCAAGATGGAAAGTGAAGGGCAAACTAAATGGTCAAAGGTCTGGAAGCCATGAATTCCCCTTGAAGAAGAGTCTGAGAGGGCTGGGTATGTCTAGCCCAGGCATGGGCGAACTTCAGCCCTCTGAGTGTTTTGAACTTCAACTCCCACAATTTTTTCCCATGCCTAGTCTAGCCTGAAGGTTGAGAATGTTTAAATATTGGAAAGGATGCCATGTTGAGGAGAGGCCAAGCTTGCTTTCTGCTGCTCTAGGGGCTAGAACACAGAGCAATGGATTCAAATGAAGGAAAGAGATTCCACCTGAACATTGGGAGGAACTTCCTGACAGTAAGAGTTGTATGACACTGGGATATGCTCCTATGGAGGCTGTGTGACCATCTGTCGGGAGTGCTTTGTGTCAGATTTGGGTTGGACTGGATGGACTTTGGAGTCTCTTCCACCTTTGGGATTCTGTGATTCAACACAGACTGGGTGGCCATCTCTTGGGAGGGCTCTGATTCTGTGTTCCTGCCTGCCAAAAAAGGGTTGGACTGGATGGTCTTTAAGGTCTCTTCCAACTCTAGGATTCTATGATTCTGTGTTTGTTGTTCATTCGTTCAGTTGTTTCCGACTCTTCGTGACTTCATGGACCAGCCCACGCCAGAGCTCCCTGTCGGTTGTCACCACCCCCAGCTCCTTCAAAGTCAATCCAGTCACTTCAAGGATACCATCCATCCATCTTGCCCTTGGTCGGCCCCTCTTCCTTTTTCCTTCCATTTTCCCTGGCATAATTGTCTTCTCTAAGCTTTCCTTTCTTCTCATGATGTGGCCAAAGCACTTCATCTTGGCCTCTACTATTCTTCCCTCCAGATTCTTTGTTTAGGCACAGCAAAACGTGGCTCTGACAAAGCAGCAGCAACCAATGATGCAAATTGCATGAGAAGTTGCCCTTTCCATTCATGTCTTCTCGGCATGTGGGTGGAGGGAGAATGAAGGAGGAAGTGGACTGCTATCTGCCCTTTACCAGTCATTCCCCTCCCGACTGAGTCAGCATTCTGCCCCTGACGTCAGGATCTGATGAAACAAAGACCAAAGGTTGCTTGCCGGGAGGAAAACAGAGCTGGCTAGAACCGGCTGCGGCTTGGCTTGGCTTGGCTTGGCTTGGCGCTGAGAAGTCTGCCTGCCAAAGCCGGCCAGTGTTGCTTTTGCAATAGGAAGACAAAGGCAGCTGATGATCACGAATGCCCTGAATACTGCTGAGAATAAGGGCAACTAAGAGATCAAAAGCAGGCATTTCTATACCCATAAGCCCCCTTCCTGCCTTGTCTGTAGCAAACACAACTAACTTCCATCCAGTCCATTTTGCAAAACTGATGAGAGAATGGAAAATTGAAGGAAGAGATCTAGCCAGGATTCGATGATAAAGAGACTGGATGGTCATCTATTGGGAGAGATTAGGTTGTATTTTCCTGCTTGGCAGAAGAGGCATTGGACTGGATTGGGGTCTCTTCCAATGCTAGGCTTATATGATTCTAATCTTCTTTCTTGGCTTGGTATGTCCTATATTTGCCCTCCCCAAGTCCTCTAGATATGTCAGACTACAACTCCCATTACCCGGCATGACACACAGAGGCTGCCAAGCCTGATAAGGCTTATACCAGGCATGGACAAACTTCAGCCCTTCAGGTGTTCTGGGCTTCAACTTCCACAATTCCTAACAGCCAGTAGGCTGTTAGGAGTGGTGGAAGTTGAAGTCCAAAACATCTGGCTAGGACGGTTTTAAATGGTGTTATTTCAAATGGTGCATTTTAATATTTCGATAAATGTTTTTAATGTTTATGTATTGTATCCAGGCATTGAATGTTTGCCGTGTATATGCTGTGCTCTGAGTCCCCTTCGGGGTGAGAAGGACGGAATATAAATGTTTTAAATAAATAATAATAAAATAATAATAAATCTGGAGGGCCCAAATTTACCCATGCCTGGCTGATACAGTAAAGTCCTATTTAAAAAGAGCAGCTGCAAAGAGGCTCATACAGTACTTCCCTTTTAAAAATGGCTACCTCAAGCACCAGTTTGGGCTCTTTCCCAGGGTCATAACTGTATTGTTCTCACTTCCGGGGGAAAGAAAAGATATAGCATAAGCAACAGGCAGTCAACAGGGAAGAAGAAGTCATTGTTGGTATTGGAAAACCTAAAGCAGCCGCCACAAAGCACAAAGATCACAGTGATTTAGAGGCCTTACACTGCTGACGGCCTTCCATCAGACTCCAGCTCCCACAATTGGGGAGTTGAAATCCAAAACACCTGGTGGGCTGAAGTTTGCCCATGCCTGGCTTATACAATAAATCCCTATTAAAAAGAGCAGATGCAGAGAGGCTCATACAGTACTTCCCTATTAAAAATGGCTCTTTCCTAGGGTCATAACTGTATAATTGTTGCTTCCAGAGGAAAGAAAAGATAGCAGTCAACAGGCAGTCAACTGGGAAGAAGAATTAGTCATTGGAATTGGAAAAACTATAGCAGCCGCCGCAGAGCACAAAAATCACGGTGATTTCTCTGTGGATCTCCAGATGTTTTGGACTTTAACTCCCCCAATTGTGAGAGTTGAGGTTCAAAACGCCTGGAGGGCCAAAGTTTGCCCATTCCTACCTTATACAATAAAGCCCTATTAAAAAGAGCAGCTGCAGAGAGGCTCATACAGTACTTCCCTATTAAAAACAGCTACCTCAAGTCCCCATTTGGGCTCTTTCCCAGGGTCATAACTGTAGCATTGTTGCTTCCAGAGGAAAGATAACTCCCCCACAATTGGGGGAGTTGAAGTCCAAAACACCCAGAGGGCCAAAGTTTGCCCATGTCTGATTTACAGCCCCATAAAGCAAGCCATCCAAGCTCTGTCTCACCTGCCAGGTCGCCCACACCATCGGCTGCCGAGTCCTGGAAGTCTTCAACCTTCTGGATGCGGTAGAGGCCACCCTTCTGCCACCACTCTTGCTTGGGCAGGTCCTTGCAGCGTGGGGCTTGCACGATGATGGCCACGGCCCCGGCCAGCATGCCCAGCCACCCCAGCCAGAAGAGGACCAGAAGGGCCCATCGGGTGCGCACCCAGGCCGGGGTGCTGGCCACCTCCAGCAGCTCCTCCTTGGAGAGGCCGGTGAACTTGGCCGCGGCCTCACGGTCCTTCTCCTCGGCCACCTTCACCATCACCGCCCCGTTCTTCTCACCAGGGGAGCCGGTCAGCGGGGAGGAGGCAGCGGCATTCATGGGCTGCTTCTCTGTCTCCATCTCGTTCAGCTCCACGTCCTTCATGTCCAGCTCCACATCGGGGGTCACGGCCGGGGAGCTCATAATGTCACCTGGGAGAAAAGATCAACCATCAACAAGCATCCCATTCACTATTGATACTGTCAGGCCTCACTTGGAATAATAACCCTGCAAAGCAATTCAAGGAGGAGAAAGACGGGATGGAAAGGCAATCAAAACTATCAAAGGTTTCAAAACCCAGCCCTATAAGGACACTCCTACACTGCCAAATAACATCCAGATTATCTACTTTGAACTGGATTATATAAAGGCAGTGCAGATTCATATAATCCAGTTCAAAGCAGATCATCTTCTTTGATAATTTGGATTATATGGCAGTGTAGAGGGGACCTGAGAAGTATGGTAGCTTAAGAGTATAGACGAACAAAATAGGTTCTGTTGGTCTGTTAAGACTCATTTTTCAAGTGTCTTTCAATATGTATGTGTGTGCGCGTTGTGTGTGTGTGTATTTAATTATGTATATCCCGCTTATCACTCCATACGGAGACTCAAAGTGGCTCACAATTAAAAACATTACAATACAACATAAAATATACAATAATAAAACAGGATTATAATTATATATTATTATGTATTATCAGTAGCATTATATGTAATATTTAAGTATTATTACAAATATTATTTTTTTTGTCGTGTCAGGAGCGACTTGAGAAACTGCAAGTCGCTCCTGGTTTGAGAGAATTGACCGCAAGGACGTTGCCCAGGGGACGGCAAGATGTTCTGATGTTTTACCATCCTTGTGGAAGGTTTCTTTCAAGACCCCGCATGGGGAGCTGGAGCTGACAGAGGGAGCTCATCTGCACTCTCTCCGCATTTGGACCTCTGACCTTCAGTCTTGCTGGCACAAGGGTTTCACCATTGCACCACCAGGGGCTCAAATTAATCTAATATTATAATAATTATCAGTAGTATTGTAATTAATATATTAGTATTATTATGGAGCCCCCGGTGGCACAGTGGGTTAAAGGTCGGAGATCTGAATCCGGAGAGAATGCGGATGAGCTCCCTCTACCAGCTCCAGCTCCTCATGCGGGGACATGAGAGAAGCCTCCCAGAAGGATGATAAAAACATCAAATCATCTGGGTGTCCCCTGGGCAACATCTTTGCAGACAGCCAATTCTCTTGCACCAGAAGCGACTTGCAGATTCTCAAGTCTCTCCTGACACGACAAAAAAAGAGTATTATTATATTACAACGGCTGTAGTAACATTATAATAATTATCAATAGTATTATAATATATTAGTATTATTATATTACAATTAATATAATATTACAGTAATTGTCAGTACTATAATTATATTATAATTAATCTATTAATATTATAATGGTCAGTAGTATTATATTAGTCTTATGATATTAGAATTCATATAATAATTAACAGTTTTGTTGTTGTTCATTCGTTCAGTCGTCTCCGACTCTTCGTGACCTCATGGACCAGCCCACGCCAGAGCTCCCTGTCGGCCGTCACCACCCCCAGCTCCTTCAAGGTCAGTCCAGTCACTTAATTAACAGTAGTATTACTATATTACTATATTATTATATTGTAGAGAAAGAGAGAGAGAAGCTCTGGCTAGAATTGGGTGTTTGTTTTGCCAACTCTATCGCATTTCTAAGCCCGATTTGATTATATGGCTATATTATAGGGAATCCTAGAGTTGGAAGAGACCCCCCCTCCCCCAAGGGCCACCCAGTCCAACCGCAATCAAAGCCTTCCCGACAGATGGCCATCCAGCTTCTGAATCCCAGAATCCAAGCTTTCCCATGCAATTTCCTTGTAAATCAATAACTATGGAAGAGAGAGAAACCTTCCAGATTCAAAATTCTAAGGAATTTGCACTAGCTATTGCAAAGCATGGGGAACATAAAGCGCGTCTACACTGTGGAATTAATGCGGATTGGCACCACTTGAACTGCCATGAGAGTTATAGCTTGATAAGGCAGCCACGCTCTTTGGCAGAGAGGGCTAAAGGCTCCCAATCTAGGCAGCTTCCTAGGGAGAAGAAACCCTACCTGCTCTCCTTTGGCGCTCCTGACAATCCGGTTTGATCCGATTCTGAGACTGGAAGGACCCGCCGGCCGGTCACCCGAAGTGAAGCAATTGCTCCGCCCCCCCAAGGGCCGGCAGATCCCACTGTCCAATCGGATCACAGCAGATTCCAAGCCAAACCCCTCCCCTTCGGCCTTAAGGTGGAACCTGGATCCCTTTGGGTAAGGAAGGCAGGATGCAGCTGCTAGACTGGAGAATGGAGGCAGTTTGACCCCGCTTGAACTCAATGCTATAGGACAGATGGCAAGCTGTTTAACCTCAGCAGACTGAAAGCCAAAACCAAAGTTACAACAACATCTGTTATAGAACTCCAGTATGCTGATGACAATGTCGTCTGTGCACATAGAATCAAAGAGTTGGAAGAGACCTCATGGGCCATCCAGTCCAACCCCCTGCCAAGAAGCAGGAATATTGCATTCAAATCACCCCTGACAGCTGGCCATCCAGCCTCTGTTTAAAAGCTTCCAAAGAAGGAGCCTCCACCACACTCCGGGGCAGAGAGTTCCACTGCTGAACGGCTCTCACAGTCAGGAAGTTCTTCCTCATGTTCAGATGGAATCTCCTCTCTTGTAGTTTGAAGCCATTGTTCCGCGTCCTAGTCTCCAAGGAACCAGAAAACAAGCTTGCTCCCTCCTCCCTGTGGCTTCCTCTCACATATTTATACATGGCTATCATATCTCCTCTCAGCCTTCTCTTCTTCAGGCTAAACATGCCCAGCTCCTTAAGCCGCTCCTCATAGGGCTTGTTCTCCAGACCTTTTATCATTTTAGTCGCTCTCCTCTGGACACATTCCAGCTTGTCAATATCTCTCTTGAATTTTGGTGCCCAGAATTGGACACAATATTCCAGGTGTGGTCTAACCAAAGCAGAATAGAGGGGTAGCATTACTTCCCTAGATCTAGACACTATGCTCCTATTGATGCAGGCCAAAATCCCCTTGGCTTTTTTTTGCCGCCACATCACATTGTTGGCTCATGTTTAACTTGTTGTCCACGAGGACTCCAAGATCTTTTTCACACGTACTGCTCTCGAGCCAGGCATTGTCCCCCATTCTGTATCTTTGCATTTCATTTTTTCTGCCAAAGTGGAGTATCTTGCATTTGTCACCGTTGAACTTCATTTTGTTAGTTTTGGCCCATCTCTCTAATCTGTCAAGATCGTTTTGAATCCTGCTCCTGTCCTCTGGAGTATTGGCTATCCCTCCCAATTTGGTGTCGTCTGCAAACTTGATGATCATGCCTTCCAACCCTTCATCTAAGTCATTAATAAAGATGTTGAACAGGACCGGGCCCAGGGGGGAACCCTGCGGCACTCCGCTCGTCACATACAGAAGATCTACAAGCCACTCTAAACACCTTCGCAGAAGCTCGGCCTGTCACTGAACATCGAGAAAACCAAAGTGCTGTTCCAGCAGTCACCAGCCAATCCCTCCCCAATGCCAGAGATACAGCTTAATGGTGTAGCATTAGAAAATGTTGACCATTTCCGCTCCCTCGGCAGCCACCTCTCCACCAAAGTCAACATCGATGCCAAAATACAACACCGCCTGAGCTCTGCGAGTGCAGCATTCTCCCGAATGAAGCAGAGAGTGTTTGAGGACTGGGACATCCGTAGGGATACCAAGATGCTTGTCTATAAAGCTATTGTCCTCCCAACCCTGCTCTATGCCTGTGAGATGTGGACTGTCTACAGATGTCACATGCAACTCCTGGAACAATTCCATCTGTTTGTGGACACCCCAGCCACACACACGTGCATACATATTTTCACTTTTATTATGTGTATAGAAGATAGATGAAGAAGAAGAAGACTGTCCAACAGTGCAGCATTTTTCCGAATGAGTGTTTGAGGATGTGTTTGAGGACATCCGTAGGGTTACCAAGGTGCTTATCCATAAAGCTATTTTCCTCCCAGCCCTGCTATATGCCTGCGAAATGTGGACTGTCAACAGACACCACATGCAACTCCTAGAACGATTCCATCAGCTCTGCCTCCGGAAAATCCTGCAAATCTCTTGGGAAGACAAGTAGACAAATGTCAGTGTGCTGGAAGAAGCAAAGACCACCAGCATTGAAGCAATGGTCCTCCAATATCAACTCCGCTGGGCCGACCATGTTGTCCGGATGCCCGACCACCATCTCCCAAAGCAGTTGCTCTACTCTGAACTTAAGAACAGAAAATGGAATGTTGGAGGACAGGAAAAGAGATTGAAAGACGGGCTCAAAGCCAACCTTAAAATCTCTGGCATAGACACTGAGAACTGGGAAGCCCTGGCCCTTGAGCGCTCCAGCTGGAGGTCAGCTGTGACCAGCAGTGCTGCAGAATTAGAGGAGGCACGAGTGGAGGGTGAAAGAGAGAAATGTGCCAGGAGGAAGGCGCGTCAAGCCAACCCCGACCAGGACCGCCTTCCACCTGGAAACCAATGCCTTCACTGCAGAAGAAGATGCGGGTCAAGAATAGGGTTCCACAGCCACATGCGGACCCACAAGGAAACCCATAATGGAAGACCATCTTACTCGTCCAACGAGGGATCGCCTAAGTAAGTAAGAACAGGCATGGGCAAACTTTTAACAGAGGAGAAAGGAAGGAAGAGAGAAGGGATGGATGGATGGATGGATGGAAGGAAAGAAGGGAGGGAGGGAGGGAGATATGGGAGAAGAAAGAGAAAGGAGGAAATGGAAGAAAGGAAAGGAGGGAAGGGAGGGGAAGAATGGAAGGAAAGAAAGGAAAGAAATAATAATAATAAACTTTATTTGTACCCCGCTACCATCTCCCCCCTGGTGGCGCAGTGGGTTAAAGCACTGAGCTGCCGAGCTTGTTGATCGAAAGGTCGCAGGTTCGATTCCGGGGAGCGGCGTGAGCTTCCGCTGTCAGCCCTAGCTTCTGCCAACCTAGGCACGAACAGACACGTTTCATCTTCCTTGTCAAATGTACTGGTTCCTTTCTACATTGCTTCAGTTCTTTATGTATTGCTTGTGTTGCA